ACAGTGGGCTGCTGACAGAAGCGCGGGCAGGGGGTACTAACCGCATGACGGTGGCTGCTGACAGAAGCGCGGGCAGGGGGAACACAGGGGCACGTGCCCCTTCCCCTTGAGTCCCGAAAGGCCCGAAATATCGCTCGGAACCTACCATTAAGAGCCCGAAAGGCCAGCTGGGGTCCCATTCAGGGGCCCGGCCCGCACGGCCGGGCACTCTAATGCTAGCCAGAGGGCCCTACGTGCTGATCAGGGGCCCGCTGAGGCGATGGGGGCCTATATTTAGGCCAAACACCACCAGTAACGCAAGTCGGCTCTGTAGCGGCATAAACCTAAGGGCCCATTTCCCGAGCAGGGACAAGGGTGGAGCCAACGACTGCATTTCTCGGGGCCCCACAGCACCCAACACGGGCCCTGTATTGTCAAGGGGCCAGAGCTGGCCAGAGGCAGTGCTCGAGGAGGCCCGAAGAGCCTAGAGGGCCCGCCGGGCCCGACGATCAAGGGCGCGATTAGAGGGTCTAAAGACATAAAAGGCTGGTCGGAGTCTTATTCAGAGGCCTAGCTCTGCGAAGAATGGCTCTCAAACAACGATCAGAGGGTCCTTTGCGCCTGTCGGGGAATCTCTGAGTCTGTATGGGCCTATATATCGGTCAGGTAGCATCGTACCACACAGCCGGCTACGTGTCGATATGAGCCTGAGGACCCACTTCTCAATCAGCTATAAAGCCGGGGTCAGTGATTTACACTGGTTGGGAGCCTTGTCTCTGTCAGGGGCCCACAGCGCCTAACAGGGGGCCCTATGCTTGCAAGAGCTTCGAGCCGACCGATGGAAGTGTTCGTTGAGGCCCCGAGAGAGGCTCGGGCGGCCCACCGCAACCGACGATCAAAGGTTGGAGGGCATAAGAGCCCAAAGGACTGGCTGTAGGTCACATAAAGAACCGCGGCCCATAAGGTTGTGACCTGAATATTAGTCGGAGATTCTCTTGCACCGATTGAGGAACACTGAGACATTGCGAGTCCTCAAGTCGGTCAGAGACCACGAACACCGAGCAGTCGGCTCCATGTCCATCTGAGCCCTGGAGACCCACTTCCCCAAACAGAAACGTGGCCGGGATCCGCGATTTGCAATGCTCAAGGTCCTTGACATAACGAAGGGCTCGCTTGTCAGTTAGGGGCAACAGCGCCAAACAGGGCCCCTGTGGCGGCAAGCGACCCCGAATCGGAGCAGTACTAGCGGCGGTGAGATGATATTTTGCACCTATATGAACTGCTGAGACCGAGCGTTCCTCGACTTCGGCCAGAGACCGCGAACACCGAACAGTCGGCTTCGTATCGGCCTGAGGTCTGGAGGCCCATTTCCCAAGCAGGAACAAGACAAAATTCTGAGAGCAAGGTCTATGATACACCGGATCACCTTAGGAGACTTGACGTATTATCTATCATGTGTAGCCGGAAGCACCTAGTTAAATAAGGAGCGTTCAAAACTTATCGATAGGGGGCAACCTAAACATGCCCTAGCGACATCGGTTCCAAAATCGTGTTCAGCTGTGACACGACACGCCTCATTTCGCCATCTGCTCAACCTTTTTGACGGCGTGAGTCACCCAATTTCCCGTCGGTAGCGGGCACCTCCATGCTTGGCCATCGTCATATTTGCCGCTCTGCATGACGTCATTTTGACAGTGAATCGCCCCGACTTCTGCCGCCATTTATCCAGCTACAATTTAGCCGTTTCGCTGGCCGGTGACATTGGCACGCTAGTCACGTGCCTAAGGTGACCACTTGCCATGCAGTCGAGATTAGAAGTCAGCCATGCAAAGCGGCAGGACGAGGTCGGCCGACAGCAGCCGTCAGCGCCGTGCGCCGCAGTTACTGAGGCGTTTGAGACGCGCCGCGGCGAGACCGACTGACGCCGCGCCATTTGCGACGAGTTAGTGGTGGTATCTTGCTGTGGGAGCGTTGGGTTGAGAGGAGTCGCCGGAAATGACGAAGTGTGACACCGGGCATTACTTCTACGGGAGCTCATGGCGACTTGCAGCATTTATGACCCCCTCCCCGCCCGCTGTGCCGCGTTAGACGAGACGAAATGTGCTCGAGAAAGAGAGAGAGAGAGAGAGAGAGAGAGAGAGAGAGAGAGAGAGAGAGAGAGAGAGAGAGAGAGAGAAGAGAGAGAGAGAGAGATAGAGAAGAGAGAGAGAGAGAGAGAAGAGAGAGAGAGAGAGGAGAGAGAGAGAGAGAGAGAGAGAGAGAGAGAGAGAGAGAGAGAGAGAGAGAGAGAGAGAGAGAGAGAGAGAGAGAGAGAGAGAGAGAGAGAGAGGAGAGAGAGGAGAGAGAGAGAGAGAGAGAGAGAGAGAGAGAGAGGAGAGAGAGAGAGAGAGAGAGAGAGAGAGAGGAGAGAGAGAGAAGAGAGAGAGGAGAGAGAGAGAGAGAGAGAGAGGAGAGAGAGAGAGAGAGAGAGAGAGAGAGAGAGAGAGAGAGAGAGAGAGAGAGAGAGAGAGAGAGAGAGAGAGAGAGAGAGGAGAGAGAGAGAGAGAGAGAGAGAGAGAGAGAGAGAGAAGAGAGAGAGAGAGAGAGAGAGAGAGAGAGAGAGAGAGAAGAGAAGAGAGAGAGAGAGAGAGAGAGAGAGAGAGAGAGAGAGAGAGAGAAGAGAAGAGAGAGAGAGAGAGAGAGAGAGAGAGAGAGAGAGAGAGAGAGAGAGAGAAGAGGAGAGAGAGAGAGAGAGAGAGAGAGAGAGAGAGAGAGAGAGAGAGAGAGAGAGAGAGAGAGAGAGAGAGAGAGAGAGAGAGAGAGAGAGCGGTATCCGACCAGGCTCGAGACGCAGTATCTGGCGGGAGGAAGGCAGACACGGTGGGGCAAGGAGAGAAACGCTGCAACTTTTGGTCCGGGGGGGTAAGTTGGCAAATTGCAGTTGTGTTGGTTTTGCCTTCTCTGAAGCATTGAACTCTGACTTGTGAGATAGTTAGTTAGACTTTTCAGCATTTTACTGAGGTAAGTTCTTGTTTATAAGAGCTTGCAAAGCTAGATTTTCCAGCAATGATTTTCGTGATATTTATTCAAAGGAAGCAATTAAGTGGAGCAGAACATGCGTTCCAGCGTAATATTCCGGAAAGCGAATAGCTTAGCCCGGGTAATTGAGACAACCGTGTGATTTATCACAGAAGCACGAGTGACACAAGCTTGCACCGTGCGATATTAATGACTTTTGTACTGAGTTCTAAAAGAGTCATTTTAGAGCTTTAGAACATTTTGTATCTTTATAGTTTAAGTCTAGCTTTAATATTTGTAAAGGTAGACATGTGTCCCGTCGGAAGATCCTTGGCTTAGTCTATATATAACCTTATCGCCACTTTCAAATACATATCTGTCGCCGAGTGAGTACAATCTCATATCCGAATTAGAAACAACCATTCATCTGAAAAGGCAAGAGTTCCCGGGAGGGTTTCCGCGCGCCGCCCGGGACCAGATTCCAGGCATTCATTGTTCTGTAGAGAATGTCCTGGCAGCTCGGTTGCCATCCTCATCACATGCCACTTTGTTGTTATGCCCATCACATGCCACCTTGCTGCCATGTTCATTACATGCCACTTTTAGCATGGCGTGACGTCAGCCAGTATCCACCCCGGATATTACCCCGCACGCTTGTTATGGCTGCCCACCCTTCCAGGAACGCATGTATGTAGTAGTCATAGCGCAATACAATCCTCGGATCTGCCTCAGGCCTCACGCGTACAGTGGGCTACAGCTGCCCCAGATATTCGGAGACTTCGATCTCGTGTCTGGCCGCAGCAAGGGCCAGTCTGAAACGACAGCCGCTTATATGATGCCCGCAGATCTGCGTTTAGCCCTATCTGCCAGACATTTTAAAAAAGCTACACGGAAAAGATGAGAGCGACATCTGGTCGTTATCGGCCGCAACATCTGTGAGCATCTATGCCCGTTCATTCTACGACGCCATCCCGCGTGTCGGCGTCCGAAAACAGCCCATCGCTCGAACGATGCCCAGGCGTGCCTTGGAGGTCAGGCGGCCGATCGCAGCGTGGCCCGCGCCCTTCAGACATGTAAATCTCCGCCCGACACCCGACCAGAGCTGGTAAAGCGGCACGAGCGCGGTTTACGAGCCCGCCCAGGTCACGGTGCCGCCGGAAATTGCTCCGTAAAGGCCCGGCCGGGCGACGCTGCTCATCCTCCAGATAGAGCGGCGCCGGCGCCGCGCTGGCCTCGTCAAAGCCGGCCGGCCCGCTATCGCCGTTGGGCGAGCCGTACTCCGATGCGAGGCGCGATTTCGACGGGTTTGAAGGACGCCGCTAAGAGCAGCCGCCGCGTGATGCGCAGTGATGGGCAGAACGAAGAAAACAATGGAAGCAGTCGCAATATCACCAGGACCTCGAATACTGCCGGACAGGTTTAATTAAACTGGTCGGAGCGCTGTGAGTAGACAATGGTACTCCCATTACGCAGAGTCCATATAATCATGAGCTAATTAACTACTCGGCGCGTGTTCAGCGGGCGGCCGAGGCCCGGCTCTAGCTGCCTAGTCTTGCATGGGCATTGGATTCGCGCTCTGCGGCTTATGACGCAATGTATTGCGGAGTGCGAGCCTTAACCAAATTCCAGATAATCTGGAGATGTCGTTTGCAGCGGATATGAACTCGGCTATGGTGGCCTTAATGAAGCTTTGTTGAAGAAGTGGAAGACACTGCTCGCTGTCCTATGCACGCCATAATGATCAATCGTCTCCTCAAGCTAGGTATTAATTCATGGCATGGCACCCTTTAGCCACATTTGCTAAGTGGTGTCATGCCATTGGTTTTTTACCAAAATGCATTTACCTTTCTTAACCTTGCTTAAATATGCTAGCACGTGTTCATAAGTGTAATGTACTTTGCTAAACGTCTAAAAATTTTGGTTTTATTATCAATGGTATTGAGTCGAATAACTGAGGCCACGAAATACATCGTGAATATATCGGTGTTTTGTTAGTATTAGATAATGCTGAGGCTCTGTTTCAGCTTTGCGGGACGAATTTCGCCAATCTCCAAGGGATGTGAAAGCTGTCCAAGGCGACGACGTCACGCTGAGATGTGACCCACCGCGAGGTCATCCAAAGGTCACCACAGTCTGGCTGAAAGATGGTGACTCGCTGCAGCTGCCCATGGGAAACAGGTGCCGAAGTGTGAGCGGCGTGCCTGGTGTCTCTCGGCCGCTGCATGACTCGCCGTCTTGGTGACGACCAAAGCTGATTGAGCTGTTATAACGAGCACGTGTATGACATTGTATTTGTATCGATACCACGACAGGGTAGTGCCTGCACCTTTCGTATCTCTAGTTAAAACAATTTATCGTCAACTTAAAAATTGCTAGCAGACAGTATGGTTGCTTCTATCGCTGCGCGGATTGCTGACGTCCATTGAAATGGCCAATGCTGTTTGATTTCATTGACCTCCTGACAACGGGCCAAAGTTTCAAAACTGCAACTTAACGCCACTGGTCCGGTGTCCCTGCTAATCAATGCGGGCGCCAGCGGCCCGGATGATATGTCGTAATTCGAACAGTTTTGGTGCGAACACCATGGCTACCAGTTGATAGAAACTCTAAATGCAGTCCTGAATCCGTTTTGCACATTGTAAACCCATCCCCTCCAGGTGTACCACAGCCACCCCAGAGACAGGCAACACTTTATACTCCTGCGTTATCGGAGACCACCCCAACTTATCCTGACCCCACCTATACCCCTGTCCGTGACCTGTCGCCAGCTGCCGCCGCAAGCCGCCCGCTCGCTGACCTCGGTGACGTCTCCGTGATGTCACCGCAGGGTGCGGACGGAGCGGTCGAATCTGGTCATCTCGGACGTCCGACCGTCAGACGACGGCCGGTACGTCTGTCAGGCGTCCAACGTCCTGGGAGTGCGCCGCTCCCGGCCCGCCAAGCTGGTCGTCCTCGGTACGTGCTGCGTCGCGCGACACGTGAGGAAGAGCGTGCACTCGCCACCCGGTGACGCACCGAACGCGCTCCGCCTGGGTCAGATGGTCAGCTGGCTGCGTTCGAACGTCGTGGGTCCAGCGTCGAACGTGTCCGTTGGATGCGAAGCCCAGAACATTGAAGGGCAAACTTGTTAAGTCAGACTTGGGGAGGTCGGGAAGCTCGTGAGTCACCAGGAAATTTGGTACTCCTCGTAGCTGCGTTACATCATGTAACGAACCTCACTTACCCAAAGGTCTAATCATAGCATGGGTAGAACTGAGTCTGTCTAACTCGCATATCTCAAAGGTTCATTATTTTTCGGTAAATAGCCAACGTAAAAATTGCAGCACAGGACATTGTAAAACAAGTCGCGTGCAAGCTGCCCTTTGTTATTATAAGCGACATGATTCGCCGACATCACTTTTTTCATCCTTATTTCATCACATATTTCTAGCAAACTCTCATTCAGTATGCAATAGCCATCAAGGATAATTGTCCAGCACTATCAAAATGATGATTATCAAATAGAAAAGCTACAGCCATAAGAAAGCCTCAGTCAAACCTTGCGGGGAATGTTTGCATAAGCGTGTCGTCGAAACGCTTACTCGCAGCGTCGTTTGAAAGCTTAACATCCCATGCAGCCTCTATTGTCTCAAAGCGGCTAACAGTTTACACCCAGGTAGACTGTTTGCTTGATTCATAAACCGTTCCATCCAAAACCGGATTCGCTCCATGGCTCTGCACGCCGTTGTTGAATGAAGCCCGAGTGCTGCTCTGGCTGGCTGCCGGAGGTTTTCATTGCCGGGCACACGGCGGGGTGTTGAGGCGTCGGGACGCTAACTGAAGATCAGAATACTCCGTCGGATTGGCCACTGGGCGATTGAAGAGTTCTCTTCCCAACTCAGCGACTGTCTAAGTGTGACGTCACGGGCGCCATTCCCGCCGCCGGACAGCGGGACCGGCCGCCGACGGGGCGGGAAACAGAGGAGGGCGCAGCTGTCAGCAGACGTGAAGCCGCCTGGTGTCAGTCCGCCGCCGGACAGTTCCAGCCCGACTCCAGCGCGCTCCTGTTCTGCTTATGTCGCCAAGTGACGACGGAAGGGACGCCGGAGCCTACATGCAATGCATCCACTGGTTGGATGGCCACTCTGAGACACCGGCTCCTTTCACCCCTATCCGCTCCTAGCAGCCTGTCCGTCAAGTCCGGCCTCTGACCGGCACCGCCCGGGCTCTGACCGGTGCCGACCGACCTCTGACCGGCACCGACCGACCTATGACCGGCGCCGCCAGGTCTCTGATCCGCGCTGTCCTGCCTGGCCCGCAGTGCGGCCGTTCTTCGTGCTGCGTCCATCGCCGGGCCGGGGCCTGGCCGGCGGCTCGCTCCTGCTGCCGTGCCGGGTGGGGGGTTCGCCGCGACCCCGCGTGCACTGGCGCCGCACGGACGGACCGCTGCCGGTCGGCCGGCTCCACTACACCGAGGTAGGCTGATGCGGCGGCGCGAGTGTACCCCCGTGTCGCCTCCGTGAGAGAGGCCAAAGTGTCCTGTCCGCTTCCGCGAGAAGGGACAGAGTGTCCCATCCGCCTCCGTGAAAGAGGGCAGAGTGTCCGGTCCGCTTCCGCGAGAGAGGGCAATGTCTCGTCCGCCTCCGTGAGAGCGGGCGGAGTGCCTTGTCCGCCTCCGTGAGAGAGGCTAGAGTGTCCTATCTGCCTCCATGAGAGCGGGCGGAGTGCCTTGTCCGCCTCCGTAAGAGAGGCTAGAGTGTCCTATCCGCCTCCATGAGAGCGGGCGGAGTGCCTTGTCCGCCTCCGTAAGAGAGGCTAGAGTGTCCCATCCGCCTCCATGAGAGCGGGCGGAGTGCCTTGTCCGCCTCCGTGGGAGAGGGCAGAGTGCCCTGTCCACCTCCGTGAGAGAGGGCAGAGTGTCCTGCCCGCTTCCGCGAGAGAGAGCAGAATGTCCTGTCCGCTTCCGTGAGAGAGGGCAGAGTGTCCTGCCCGCTTCCGCGAGAGGGGGCAGAGTGTCCTGCCCGCTTCCGCGAGAGAGGGCAGAGTGTCCTGTACGCCTCCGTGAGAGCGGGCTGAGTGTCCCGTCTGCCTTCGCGAGAGCGGGCGGAGTGTCCTCTACGCCTCCGTGAGAGCGGGCTGAGTGTCCCGTCTGCCTTCGCGAGAGAGGGCAGAGTGTCCTGTCCGCCTCCGTGAGACCGGGCGGAGTGTCTGCCTCCGGGATCGGGGTAGTGGGTTGTCGCCTAGTGGTAGTTTGGGAGTGTTGCGGTCCCAAGCCGCGTGCACGCAGTGGAGCCGCTTGATTATGGTTCTCGCTCAATGCAGCATACAAATGATATGACATGATGTTCTAGTTTACACGCGTATGCTTCTCATATTGTTAGCAAATCGCTCAAATAGCGCCTTACGGCTTCATGGGGACAGCCATTCTTCCCAACTAAGAAGTGAAATTTCATCTCGCGAGTGTCAGGAGCCTCTATTCGCACAGTACCAGCATGCTGCGAAGCACGACGTCGCTGTTTCCCCTGAGAACTGCGCACTGTAACGTCACCGCCGGGTGGTTGCCAGGACAACAGCATGCGGATAGACGGCCTGCGGTCCTCGGACGCCGGCCAGTACAGCTGCGAGGCGGAGAATGAGGCGGGTAGGGTGTCCGCCGCCGTCACGGTCGAGGTCCAAGGTAAGCTCGAGCAGCCGGGCCGTCAGGTTCCAGTGAGCTCCCTGACGTTTGAAGTTTTGGTGCTCTACCTCAATCACTTAGCGATTACCAAAGCACTGTCCCGTGACCCGAGACACTCATTGTCTGCGCCGTGACCGTTCGATGACTCGTGGCTACAAACTAGCTGCCGTGGCCGTTCAATGACTCGTGACTACAGACCATCTGCTCTGGGACCACGCCATGACCCTTAGGCCTTGGGCCGTGATGTCACGAGCGCCGGCCCCCTGTGGCCCCCAGCGTGGACATGCCTTGACCCTTGGCTCTCGCCCGTGATGTCACCATCACCTGCCCCTCCACCCCCCCCCCCCTCCCCGTAGTGTCCCCCAGCTCGGACAAGCCGTGACTCTTGGCTCTGGTCCGTGACGTCACCATCACTAGTCCCCCCCCCTCCCCCAGTGGCCCCCAGCGTGGACATGCCGCGGCGAGCGGCCGTCACGCTGGGCTCCCAGGTGGCGCTCAAGTGCCAGGTCAGGGGTCAGCCCGCGCCGCGCGCCGTCTGGTGGAAGGAGGCCCAGTTTGACCCGCTGCTGGCGGATCAGGTCAGTCGGACGGACGAGAGGACATGCCAGGCTGCTTAGATTCTGTTCAGGTTTGCCTCTACAGTGACGGCACTAGAATGGCCCAGAGCAGGGAAATAGCCTTAGACTATGTGGCAGGTCAGGTTTGCCTTTACAGTGACGGCACTGGAGTGGCTCAGAGCAGGGATGCAGCCTTAGACTCTGTTCGGGTTTGCCTTTACAGTGACGGGAATGGAGTGTCTCAGTGCAGGGATGTAGCCTTATACTATGTGGCAGTTCAGGTTTGCCTTCACAGTGACGGCATTAGAATTGCTCAGAGCAGGGATATAGGTAAGCTGGGAAGCATGCTATCGGGGAAACAGCAGGATGTCTCGCAACTTTCATTGCTTGTTTTTTTAAAGAAGCTGATTTTGAATAGTTCCATGATTGTGCTGGCAGCAGTTGCCAAGCAGGGCTTACTGCGCATGCTGGTCACCCAAGATGTGCCGATCCAGTTCTTTGGACAATTTCACAATCAGACTTTTCGCTGGGCGGGAATGCTGAATGGTTTGTGCTCCGTGTAGTGCTGCGACAGAACCGCTCGAGGTCTGGTCGCAATCATTCGATTTATCTCCTTTCATGTCGGGGCATACATTTTGTTTTACCATCAGACGGTATTGTAGCAAGAATGTACAGGATCTACGCAAAAATGTAACTCAACATGATAAAAAAGAACCAACAAAGTCATTCAAATTCTCCGATCGCTGAACTGGCCTGATAGAATAGCGGTGAGATACTCATGTGAATGGCAATAAGGTCACTCACTAACACTAGCCAGACAGTAGCCGTGGGCAAAATTGGTATGAAGGGCGGTAAGTGGAAACAAACATGTCTTGAACAATTCGCTTAACGTGCAGCTATTATTGTAGATATTATAAAACAAGCATTCCAGCTCCAGGTCACTCCCTAATCCGCCTCGGTTAGGTCTCTGAATTATACTGGCGCCGGGTATGAACTCTTAAGACTCGAACGCACCAATAGCCTGGACCGTAGATGAGGCTCGATCAAAGCTGAGGCGGTCCAGACCCCGATTTCATTGCAGATACCCACGCCTTGAATGTGAACTCTGACAGCATATGTATCAGGTGCCGCAGTTCCGTATATGTCCAGAACTTCCGCCATCTGCCCCGAAGCGAGGCTGGATAGGGGGAATGGCTGCCGCCTCTGTGCAAACCGATCTACAGCTCTGTCCCGTGACCTCTGTTATGTAATCCTCAGGAGCGGGGCAGGATCACCACCTCGGTGCAGAATGACCTGTACATCTCGCCCGTAACGTCGGCCGACCTGGGCTGGTGGGTGTGCGCCGCCGCCAGCGCCGCCGGCTCCTTCTCGGGCCGCGTGCTGCTCCACACGGGCCGGGTCAAGGTCCCGCCCGGGTCGGCGAGTGGCCGCAGCGGCCCGACCGACGACCTTGTCCACTTGGAGGAGGTCCGGTTGTTGGACGGCACTTCCGTTCGTCTGTCGTGGAAGGTGAGAGGAGGCAGCTATATCTGGAGCATTTGAACTCTGCTGAAGACAGCGCTCTCCATGGCTCGGAACGAATCTGAAATAGACTTCCAGGACTTCGCCTCGTGAGCGCGATAATTTGCGCTCAATCATTTCTCCCGAAGGCGAGCAAGGCTTAAGGAGGCTCTCTTGGAAATGATTTAGGCCGCGGCGCCGTTGTGGCCACGCGAACTCGGTTCTCTGGTGCTCATTCCACCACGCCGCTCCTTCAAAAGACCAGATTCACTCGCCCGTCCCACGAGACTTCTCGCCGCATCACCACCCGTTGCTCTCCGCCCACATCCGCCTCGGCAGACGTCGGACCGGCGTCCGGTTGACGGCTTCTACATCTGCTACATCCGCCGTCCGGCGGCCGATGGCGAGGCGACATCGGCCGCCCCCGCCGTGCAGAAGGTCACCGTGCTGAACGGCGGTGCCGACAGCTACGTACTGACGGGGCTACGGCCGGGCGCAGCGTACGAGTTCTTCCTGGTGCCATTCGGCGGCGGGCGCGAAGGCCGCCTGAGCCGCCTCCGGCGCGCCCAGCTGCCAGAGGCCGGTGAGCAAAGCGTTGGGATGGGCAAGTTCCTCGGAGAGCGTAGTCAGGGGAAGTTTGCGGGACTTTGCTCACGGTGCTGACTAAAGATGACGCGTCGTTTTGATCTCGATCATGTGTTGCCTCATTGTCAGGGCCAGTCCTCTTCAAAAGCGCGAATTAATCCGATTTAATGCCTAGCGCGCCGCTTACCGTTGGCGACAAGTTTCAGACGTGCATCGGGTTCGCATGACTTACAGCCACTCGTTTGGTAACCAGCACGGACTCGCCGCAGCCAGCACATCGCGCCGCCCTGTCCTGCTAGCCGGGTTGGTCAGCGGCAGCTGGACCTCCGCGTCGCAGTGGGGGCGGTAGCGGGGGCGTGTGCCGCCACCGCCGCCCAATAACCAGCTCGTCGCGAGCGGTGGCCCGATCACGTCCGGCGCCCGGCCGCCGGAATGTCGATATGACCATGTTATTCCCGCCGCAACCCGACGTATTGTCGGCCTCCGCGTCGCGTATTCCGCCGGCGTGTTTCACTCACGGTCGGCCCATGGGAGCGGCGGAGGCGCCGCGGCGGCGGCGTCATTGGCGCAAGCCGGCGGCATAATGCCGGTGGCGATCGCTAGTGGCCCTTTGCCGGGGGAGGGGAGCGTCGCTGTTCTGGCGGCCTGTTACCGCCGGCCGGCCGATTACAGTGGGGGCGTTGAGGAAAACATCTTGGCGTCGCTTTGTCCGAGGGCTGCCGCAGGATATTGCTACTTGACGCCGTGGTCCGGCCGGAATTAAACGCCTGGGGCGGCGGCCGGTCCGCGGCCGGTCAGGAAGAATGCCGGCCGTCCTGATGCCGGGGGCTTGGCTGTTGACCGAGGGCGCTGCTGACGGAACGGAGGGCGGTGGCCGGTCCGCGGCCGGTCAGGACAAATGCCTGCCGTTCTGATGCCGGGGGCTTGGCTGTTGACGGAGGGCACGGTTGATGGAACGGATGGGACGCTAGGTTACAGGGCTCCTGCGCCTTTGATGGGCCAACAGCACTTGGAGCGCAGCAGACGGGGGGGATCCGTGCGCCTTCGAAGGGCGTACATGTCGAACGGGGTGGACAGTAGGACTCCGCGCCTTTGATGGCCGGAAAAAGTATCCAACCGAGCGCTGCAGGAGTGCCTAAGCGTGTTACTGGTGCTCATCCGCGTGGGTGCGTGGTACTCAAGCAGCAAAGCTACCCCGCTCGGTGGCCACCGGAAATGGTTTCGACTCACTCGGTGCTTTTAAGCGAGAGGTAGCGCTAACTCGCCCGGAGTCTGGGAGAGGCGAAAATAACACCCGTTTAATCGAGTTATGGTAATCACTCTGGGAATTTAACTGCGGGTAAACGAGCGCCAGGAGAGGATCCTGCGACTGCAAGCGTCGCGCAGCGGCCGGAAAAGTTCCGAGGCTCCCCGCTAAAAATGTGCGGCACTTGTTCGGGCGGAGACTCTCAGGTTCATGAGCAGCTGCTTTCTATGAATAATTATTAGGTTTGGAGCACTCCGGATCGAGGGGTTCCATGAAACTCAAAAGTGGCGGCTCAAAAGGATGACGTCATTGGTACCGCAGAGAGCTGGGAACTTTAGCCCAACAGTCAGCTGCAGCTCAGCGATACGAAATGGCGTCGTGTTGGCCCCGTTGGCGTATGTCAGTTTGTGAAAACTGCCGGGCTAACGGTCGGATGAGCGTACCAGCCCATTGCCCAGCAGATCAGTGAGCTCATTTTGGCGACTTATTTTGCATTCATGGCGCGATGATGAACTCCCATGAACACTATCGTAGTTCGCCCACTGTCCATTCCAAAGGCAGAAGTGGTCACAGCACTGCCTCCCCGTGCTATGCATCATGCAAACCAATCTCAACCGCGTCCTCGCAACAACCAGCCAGCCGGCCATTCAGGATCTTGATCGCGAACGTTCTCAATATCACCCGCCCGCAGTTTGTGACAAAGACGAGCGCTGATCGATTCGGCACTCTCCGGTCCGATTGCCGCCTGTTTCAGCCCCGTCGGCGGCCCCGGCCGGCCTGGAGGTGCTCACCGGCGCCGCCGGCACCACCGTCACGTGGTCCGCGCTGCCGGCCAGGCTCGCCAACGGACTCGTCACTGGCTACACCGTCATCATGCAGAGCGCGCCGGTGGCGGCGGCGGCGGCAGCCGGCGACGACACCGCCACCGCAGCGCGGCCGATGGAGCGCGCGCACAACACCACCTCGCGGCGCTTCGTGGTGCCGCGCGGTGCCAAGCTGCTGCGGGTTCGCGTGGCGGCACGAACAGCCGCCGGGGTCGGTCCGTTCTCGGCCTGGTGGCGGCCGGAGAGGCCGCGCCGGCCCGAGGAGCCGGGCACCGGGCCGCCGCCGGCCGCCACGGCTACCGTGCCGCTGCCTCCGCCGGCGGACACGGCGCCGCTCGACACGTGGCTCGTGGCCGCGCTCAGCTGTGTCGGCTTCTTTGCACTGGGCACGGCCGTGCTGGCGCTACATTGCCGTCGCCTGAAGCGCAAGCAGGATACTCTGGCCGGAATAGTCGCACGTGAGTGGCTGGGACACGCACGAGATCAGAGGCAGAAGTGCGGCGCGGGCAAATGTCAGGTCTGTGCGCCGATGGGAAGGAAAGCGTCTGGTATTGTTGCCGTTATTGCCAGCAAAAGCGTGGCGATGATCAAATGAGTCGGGTAGATGATCCATACACCCCTGTGATATGGCGTAATGACGTTTCTGTGATGCGTGAGTGTCGTCACAGAGCAGCCCGGCAGCATGCTTAAATCGCGATTGGGAAGCGATAAGCGCAAAGGAGGGTTAGCTGGGTCTGGTTAGCGGCAGTGGAACCAACAAAGCGGAAACACAGACACCAAAATCCACCAAAGGGTAGTAGTCGCTTGACTTAACATTGCTAATATCCTACTCGACGTCACATGCCTGGCAATTCAACGAGACGGTCCCAGAATTCCCCGCGGGGTAGTGGCCAGCTACGGCGGGGAGCTCAAATAGAAGCGTTAACTTTCTTTCTGACGGGCCAATTCGGGCGAGTCGCCTACAAATCGTGCCAAAGCCCGGCCGACGGCGATCCGATTTTTAGCCTACCTGATCCTGACTTGGGGCGTCGATTTATCATTCAAACAATGGCGGCGCGGGAGGCGTCGATCCATCAATTACCCGCCGGGACAAGGGGCCAATACCCGTCCGGCGGACCGCTCCTCGGGTCGAAAATCAGCCCTTCGGCGGCTGGCGCAGTCAACAGCGGACCAGCTGGCCGTCTTGGCGAGCCTCAGCGCGGTTACCACACGGCAGGCGCAGTCAACAGCGGACCAGCTGGCCGTCTTGGCGAGCCTCAGCGCGGTTACCACACGGCAGGCGCAGTCAACAGCGGACCAGCTGGCCGTCTTGGCGAGCCTCAGCGCGGTTACCACACGGCAGGCGCAGTTAACAGCGGACCAGCTGGCCGTCTTGGCGAGCCTCAGCGCGGTTACCACACGGCAGGCGCAGTTAACAGCGGACCAGCTGGCCGTCTGCGTGGCGAGCCTCAGCGTGCCGTTAACACAGAGTCACGGCTGGCCAGGCGCGATCCTGCGGTCAGGGGCAACAAGTCGGCATGCGCCGGTGCCAGCATGGCATCCGTATCCGGGATGGCGTGTTGTCTCGCGCTTCCACGTAGTGCTGCCAGCGTGTGCAGTCCCAGTGTGATCCTCCAGCGACGTGTCGAACAGCGAAATACTTCCAAGGCTGTAAAATGTGTGGCGTTAAAATTTAAAATCACCTTATGAAATTCTTATTTGTTCACAAGTGTCGACGTTAACCCATCCCCGCCTCTCGTCTCCCGTCAGTGGATTACCCCGCCACCAAGCCGTCAGCCGTCATCTCGCCCTCCCAGCAAGACGGCCTCAACACCGTCTGGCTGAGGGACGACCTGTTCCACAAGAGCGCGTACGCCGACGCCGACCCCGCCGCCGTCAAGACCGACCGGCACCTGCACGTGAACGCGCTGTCCGAGCCGGGGGTGGCGGCGCCGCTGCCGCCGGCGCGCGTCGGCTCGGCGGTGGGTCTGTATGCCAGCGCCAGAGTGGTCGGCGGCGGCGGCCGGCTGGGCTCGCTACCGGCCGTCGCCGCCGACGCGCCGGCCTCGCCGCGGCCGGCGCGCGACCGCAGCCTCGGCTCGGCGCGCATGGCCAGGCGGCTGCACAGCCTCGGCCTGCAGGTGGGCGCTGAGGTCTTGGTGGGGTGGGCTGTGGATTGCATAGCCGCAGATCGCTGCTGGTTAACGGAGGGAGTCAGGCTGAGACGGCGAATTCGATGCAGAGGTTCAGTCACAAGTTGCCTCAGATGGATCTATCAATAGGCATATAGCGAAAGTGACAGTTGCGTGCTTAAAGGGAGTGTTCCCCACTTGTATTGAGTTTTGAACTGGAATAGCCATCTTGAAGATCATCCGGTGCAGTCCACAGCCCGCCCATCTTAAGACTTCAAACCCGTTTAGTTTTGGAGTCACGCGCCCGAGAAGATATGCAGACTATTTCGGGTAGACTAGTTCAAGGCCACACAGCAACCATGGCGCCGCAATAACGCTATTAAGTCATGCCATTCTATTAGCCATGCTGCAATCAAGGCCTAGCAAAATATGATAGCCGAGTCGTTCATCTCTGGCATTCGTGAGCACGATTTCCAGACATAACTGCCGCCAATTGGCTCTCAATCAATGTTGTTCAAGGTACGATGACGTGATCAAACAATGACGTATTGAGGAGCATATCTATTAGTCAGAGAAATTGTGTAATCTAGAGCAGTCTTTTTCACTTAAATGTGTACCAATAGCTATAAGTGAGCTTGTTTTATCGTACCTGATGCTTGTTTCATCATCTGCAAATGTGGAGCATAACCTTTCACTCGCTGTATATTGCGCAATTTCATGCAAGACATTACGAGTAATAACTACTGCCGCCAAACAAGCGAAATACTGTCATACATTGAGCATGTCAGACTTCACATGACATGGTGGTTTCCAATCCGACCAGAGCTTGATTGGATTGCCTGTCGGCTGCCATGACAACAATCTCCAGCAAACGACACCGTGAGCTTAGAACCAATCACACACAATCTCTCGCCGCTTCCCAGAGCGCTCGGTCGGCGCCCGGTGTCTCTGGCATGGCGCTCTCCCAGCCGATGAGTCCGTGGGCGCGCCACAACCGCCGCCGCGCGCCGCCCTCGCCGCCGCTGGCAGCCGGCTCCTACCAGGACTGCTGCTGCTACGAGTGTGACTACGGTGGCGTCGGGCCGCCGGCAGTCCGGCCCGACTCGCCAGGTACGGTCGAGACCTCAGGTCACCGGCAGAGGTCAGCTGAAGGGCGTGCTGACGGCGGGCAAGGCCCAGACCCGGCTGCCGGGTAGGGTCTGTGATCCCAGACCACCAGGACTGGTCACGTGGATATGCTGAGGCCGTCGGCCGCTGCCCTGGCCGGGCTTGTCAAACGCGCTCGGCGACCTTGGGTCACCGCGACGCGGCAGCTGACGTGACGCCGTCACACAGGCGACTGACCTCACCATGCCTGCAGGCGACAACGGCAGCAACTGCGGGGATGCCTGCAGCTGCGACTACGGCCAGTGGCCGGCGCCGGCGGCACCGCGACGGCCCGCCTCGCGCCGCTCGGCCGTCTCCGGCGGCTCCTCGGCCGTTGACCGCGCCACGCAGTCGTCTCCCGTCTCGCCTGGCACGGAGCCAGAGCGAGGCTATCGCCGTCTGGCAGCGCCGCGCGCCGCTGAAGAGACCTCCATCAGCGACAGCAGCTCGTCACTGTACGCCGAGACCGATCTGAACGAAGTCACGCGCCTTGCCGACGAGCTGGCCGGCGCCAGCGCCGGCGGACGGACGCAGCAGGTGCGGACGGATAGACGGGGAGAGAGAGAGAGAGAGAGAGAGAGAGAGAGAGAGAGAGAGAGAGAGAGAGAGAGAGAGAGAGAGAGAGAGAGAGAGAGAGAGAGAGAGAGAGAGAGAGAGAGAGAGAGAGAGAGAGAGAGAGAGAGAGAGAGAGACCGGGCGAACGGACGTGATCTTGTCTGAGACTTGCCTGCTGGTTAGCGAAGTATTTTATCGAGACGTTGTACTTTGCCGTCTTGCTCTTTACGTGGGACTGTGGCCTAATCCAGCCTCTAGCTAATTACGCGGGCTCAAACAGCGTTGTAGCTCAGAAAATGGTTTTCCACTGACTTAATTGCGGGAGACTGGCTGAGACTGTTTTACAGTCCGTTGTCATCGGAAACATCGAAGAGCATATCTGTATAAATTTGGTGTCACTGGACGCCTTTGAATTGATATCGCTATAAATCGGCGCTATCGATATCACTAATTAATATCACCCATATGAGCTAATGCACCCCGATGTTCCGCTCCCAACAGGCAGCGGCGGTCGGCGGCCGGCCGGCTGCCAGCCGCACCCACTCACTGTGCAGTGCCGACTCCGCGTACTGCACACCCGGCCCCAGCCGACACAGCTTCACCAACGGCGACCGCGCGGACCGCAACTCGTCCGACACGCCCATGGATAACAGAGTGGTCAAACCCGCTCGACGCCGCCGCAGCAGCGACGGCGTGGAGAGGCCCGAGTATGCTGGGATGTAGGCGGGACATAGGACGTCTGGTTAGCCTGCTGCTGTGTGTGTACAGCACCCACACGAAAACCGGCAAACGGGATTCAATTGTGAATTATCCGAAGCAGACTTGTGGCAGACGGCACGTGCCATCTTATGCTGGCTCCTGTGTTTTTACTAAGTCACTTGCTCGCTGTCAAGGCATGCTAGAAAAAGCTGCGGGCAGTAACAGTCGCTAATATCACGAGAACCGTCAAAATATCACCAGAACATATCGACACGACCTGCTGACGGGTACTGTCGCATCCTCTCGGCCGGTGGACGGGTGCACATCAGAACCGCATGTCGACTGGAATGCTGACATAACCTGTCCCCTGTATACTAGCGCCCCTACCGGACATATCTGTCAACGCCTGCTAGCGTGTCGTACGTGTCGTTTCTGTGTTCGCAATACCGTTGTGATATACCACTGGCAAAGTTGATTCGTGCGCCCCTGCCCTTCCCCTCCCCAAGTTATCATAGGCTGTTCAGTTGACACCGAAGCGAGGTGATGCAAAGCTGCAGGTACTGGGACTCGCGTTTTGTAACTATGGCAATCGTTGTGTACAATAACGCACTTGAGCGGAAGGCCGACTTGTGACTACAATGCTTCTGCCAAAATGCACTTGCTCATAAAAAGGTTCTTAATCGCGTCATGACACACCCACATGTCTTCTGACAACTGTATTGATGATGGCATGTCATACAGGAATCAAATAGGTTACGAACGCAGCACATCCCGCAACAATAATGTCGGATATCGGAGGCGCCCGTCTCACGGCACGGTAGGCTTCAGAGCGCTCGCCTCATGGAGCAACACCACCCCAGTTCGTCCTCAAAAGAACACCGGTCATTACACCAGACCACGCAACGATCCATCCCTGCCCCAGGCCACGCCAGGCCAGGCCAGGTCAGGCCAGGCCAGGTCAATCCCCGCCTGCGGCCGTCACGACTCCCCAGTTACGAACATGTGCACCTGCTTCTCGGAGCCGATCATAGATGTCGCTCGCTCCGCGCCGACCACGCGTGCCAGCTTCAGCCGGTCGAAGCGTGAGAAGAGGACGGTACAGGTGACGCCGGCGCCGTCCTGCGCCGTGCGCGGGTTCTGGTACGCCTCCTGGAAGCGGTGCGCACGAAACGTCACGCTCAGGATTGTGCGAACAGAGCTCTAAACAACACGCCTTAGACCACAAGACCTATGGCACACACATATACACACAGAATGCGCAAGACACACATGCACAAACACACACAAGGCACACAGGACCTACAAGATGGAGGTCAGGGTCATTTGTGCAGGGGCTCGACAGAGGCCGCCAAAACCTGAAGGTCTTTAAGGCTGGATGGAAGAGGGAGCCTCGGCCACGACGTCCGAAGTACCCAGGACATGTCTAGCTTCCTGCGCGGCAGACCACTTCACCTGTGTGGGCTGAGTTCACTCGTCAGCTAACGACTCGCTGGTCGTCACCACCACATCGCCGCTCATCACCAGACATGACGACAGACAACTAGAACGCCACGTCGTGCTGGCCCAGGCCACGGCTGGCGTCACCTGCATCAGGTTGCAGATCTCCGAGTAGAGGTGCGGGTACACGGGCAAGCCATAGAACACAACATGCCGGATGCCCTTGATGCGGTAGCGGCGGAAGAAGTGGAAGCGCTCGGTGTAGAGCAAGAAGTGCCGCTTGCCGTGGTAGAACATGTCGCGGGCGCGGCTGACCCGGCTGTCCTGCGACGCGAGATCAGGTAAGGTCAAGTCAAGCCTCGGGGTGCGGCACGCCCTGAGCACGGCCAAACGAGGTACCTACAGCTCCGGTTCAACCAAATAGGCGCAACGTTGAAGTACTTATAATTACGTAATCAATGTAATAGTTGAAACATTGTCGTACTTGCTGAACATTGCAACAAGCCGCGCAACGGATAACTTGCCAGCTACAAGGACAAATCAGCCGATTGTTGCCAGTCCACAACGTTTCGGCCGCGTTTCGAAAGGCTCTGCTTTCGTAGGAACACGTGCCCACTAACGATATTATATTACGGAAACTTTAGCATCCCGCCCAACTGTTTGCTCAAAGAAAATGGGAATCATAATCCTTCCTGGGGCGGCTAAATGCGTGGCCTACCCCGCCAGCAGCGTGGTCCCATGGCCAGGACACTGGGTCAATGTTGCATCCGCCCAACAGCCGAAAAGTGCTGGGAATGTTTGACGTGTCGCGCGATACCACCACACGGCCACCGGATGGCCCACATTCTCCTCCTCGTCGGGAAAAGCCAAGCCTTAAGTGGGATTCGAGCCCATGCGCTGGTGTCCCGCACCCGCTGCAGGCCGCTGGCCACAGCCAGAGAGCAGCACCAGAGCAGACTCGCCACCGGTGCGGCATTACCAGCGAAAACGCGGATAGCAGGTGGGTGCACTGGAAGCAGACGACTTCGCGAACAAGTGTTGACAAAACATTCGCAAGAAGACGCGCAGACACGTGCAAACTTTCACATGCCATAGATTTGAAGGCGGAAATATGTCGCATCGAGATTATTAACTCCAGAACCGCTACCAAGAGTTCTCCATCACGAGCGAGCCCGGTTTCAGACAAATAAATTAGGCCTTCCCGACAATCTCCTTCGGATGTTGGGGATGCACTAACATATCCTAAAGCACTAAGACATTCTGATTTCAAAAGCAATTGTTAAGCCCTGACGCATACCGGACGCACACAATTATATCGTTTATGTGCATTCGATCCGGCCGTAACGCTATAAACTAAACCGCTATCATCATGTAAGTGCCCCCTCCCCCCTCCCGAGCCTCTCAGTGTTTTCGTGTGAAGGCTAAAACTTGACAGAAATGTCATTACGTAGATAAAAAAACTCCCCACGAAAAGAGCTATCGTGTCATCCAGGAGTGTCAGTAAGTATTTCTGATTTATCTTTCCAAAACAACTCTTGGTGGGCACAATCTCTTCCACAAGTTATACAACCTCGTCCTTCACTAGGCTATAACATCACCGGAGTCTTTTATCACGCGGAACACAGCCGCCGAATCACTCGAGAACACACACCCCCGTGACGCATTCTCACACATCACACTTAGGTCGTCGTAACCCTGCACATGCCGCGTCAGTTCTCCGCCCTCCCGACGTCGGCGCGTACCTTGGTGTACTCGCAGACCTGGACGAAGTTGACTGTTTCCTTGATGAAGTGGTTGCGGATGCGCACGTAGTCGAAGTAGGACGGCACCAGCAGCAGCGTCTGGTTCATCTGGACGTCTCGATGCTGTGGCAGGACCTTCTCCACGAAGAACTGGAACCGCACGTCCGGCTCCGAGGCCAGACTTTCCGCCGAGAACCGGTGGAATGCCTGACAACAGCGGTGGCATTTTCAGGAGCTCTGACGAGAATCCATCATAAAGAGGAAGGTCTAAGAAAGCAACGGTCCTCAAAGTGACGCTGTCGGAGGTTGGCCCATCTCGCAACACGCTCAAACCGTGCGACACATACTTGGTAGGTCAATGCCTATTACGTGTCTTTTACGTGATACAGTACGATGTTATAAGTGATGACCTTTCCGCCCGCTCTCTCCGTGTTTCACGGACAGTTCACCGTTTTTTTCATGTAAAATCAGTTTTAGAGTAAAATCGTATTAGATAAGACTATTCAGTATATTTCTAAAGATATCTATATCAGCAACATGGGATCATTACATCGATGGTCCAAAACAAAACAAAATATTTCAAAAATCTGACCAGCGTTCAAAAACGGTTGCCAAGGATGCTCTCCAATAAGGAGCAGCTATATTCAGTCTATTGCAGGAATGGATTAGGTAGAAGGGCCCACAGAGCTGTCTGGAACACCACCACAACACACCGGATTCTGAGATAACCGCAACACGCAAGTGGACGGCTCATCGCATGACCTTCCACCCCTGAGGCCGTCCCCGATCCGTGCACTTACCTGGGGCACCTGGACCACCACCTGCTGAATCGAGCCCACCACCTCCGGGTTCTGGACGAGCACGCGGCCGGCGTAGTTCAGGCAGCACTTGCTCACCTGTCGGCACAGCACGCCGCTCAGGGCCCAGGCCCCACGGCCGCCATGTCCGAGCACAGCACCATACTCTAATGGCACCCACACGCCTGCACGTGAATGCAGAGCACGCACGCTCTGCGCTCGACACCACGCTACAGCAGCCGGTCAGTATTCGCGCCAAGGCTAGCCCTCGGCACACGCCGACGACGCCGGGGGCTGGTCGCCCACCAGAGCGTTGATCTCCGGCGTAGGCAGCGCCGACAGCACCAGGGTCTGCCGGTAGAGGCGCTGCCAGCCGTTGAGGGTCCAGTAGCGGACGCGCGAGAAGTCGACACCGTGCGAGTCGCGCGGCTGCAGGTGAAGGTGCTCTACCAGGTGCAGCACGTGCTCCCAGTTCTGCATCTGCGGCAAGAGTGAGGGCCACAGTGAGACAGGGTGTATGAGTTTGGGTGGACCCATACATCCTGAGGCCAGCTAACGACAAATGGGGCCATCTGCACTTGAAAATATCGGCACTGGTCAGCGAAAAGCGGCAGTAGGGACGGGACTGTCGCTCGAAGCTATCCAACACACATCTGCACGGGATACGAGATGTCTCTAAACGATAACACAGAGATGGAACACGACATTTCAAGTAAGCATAACTAAAATGCAACGTCTCGAATACAATTGGTATTACAACCAAGAACATGACATTTGAGGCGAAATGGCCAGCATCTCAGAGTGGCGGCAAAGTAAACAGTCCCGTCCAGCATCTCCCTCCTCCCCCGTCACTCACGCCTCATCAACAACAGCAAGCACGTCACAATGCCATTCCATCTCGGAGTAGCCAGTGAGCCTCTCCGCGCCAAGCGCCCTGGACCCGGCCAGACTCGCGCTGCGCGGTGACCCTCACCAGGAACACGTCCGTCTGGTCCATGATGAGCAGCTCGATCGAGTTAAGGAAATCGACGTCACGGTCCGATTCGCCCTCCGAGCCCAGTACCGTCCGCAGGCCCAGCGGTGACGTCACAATGACGTCAGAGTGATAGAAGTCGCTGTACAGGCGCATGCTTTTCTTGGTCACCTGTTGGCACCCCGATGGGATTGCGTTCGAGGCGGTGATTTGTGTTCGTTATAGCAAACAAAATGCATTGGTTGTAACAACAGAAGAACAACAAACACACAATGCGAGGGTTGAATGCGAGTAAATCATGACAAACTTAAGTACATTTCCAGAAAGTTTCTACATGTGTATTGTCAATTTCCAACAACCCAACAGGATGAGGGGCATGAGCCCCTGCACCGCACCGTCCCTCCTAGCCCAGCCCAGCCCCGCACCGTAACGTACCGTACCGCACCGCACCGCACCGCACCGCACCGCACCACACCACACCACACCACACCACACCGCACCGCACCGCACCGCACCGCACCATACTGCACCGCACTGCACACTGCAGCGCACTGCACACCGCACCGCACCGCACCGCACCGCACCTCTCCCTCCCCTACCCGCCGCCCCTCAGCTAGAGCCGCCTCACCTGCAGGCCAAGTCGGAACGCGTCGTCCGTGTTACCGGCGAACGTGGCCAGGAAGTCGGGCGGGCGCCGGAGCCGGCCGGGCGCCGGCGGCGGCGCGTCGCCGTCGCCGAAGTCGGCCGCGAACCGCTTGTAGCGCATCACGCTGCTCTTGCCGGCCGACTGTAGCAGCGATATCAGCGTGTTGACGATCCTGCCACGCCGAGGAGGGCCGGGGTTATGGCACGGGGCAGTGGTGTTGTCCACTAGATTACTTGTCACAAGCGGGTGGAACGTGATGTGTCATTGCGCAATCGTTGTAATATTCGGTGGGCTTGTGTCTCTCTACCAAGCAAAACAGTCGATTAAAAATACGCAGCGTGCGAACATTCTAAAACCGTCATACAACGCGGCAAAAAATACCCCGAACAAGTTTGAGATCTTACCAACATGGGAGAAGGCGCCTTTGCACTTTGCACGAAGGGTTCCCATGCGTTTAAAGCGTGCAAGCAGTGGTGCTCATCAAGCAGCCAGCTGATGAAAGTCCGGTCCCCACCAATTTCGTGCGAGCCCACACACGTCAATACACGAACGACCATGAGTGCCGACGACCAAGTCGTCTAACAATCCTAGAAGACGGGAAAAAGCCGAACCCCGTGTGGTTGAACCGTTTCCGAGTTGTGACCAAACACCGTCACGTGCTTCACCAGCGGACGCCAGCTAATGCGAACGGAAGACCCGTAAACTGGTCCTCAGTCGCAAACGGCCATCCGGAAAGTCAATGGGCTTGCCAGGACTACTCGTAGCCATCGTAGCAAGGACCATATCACTGGAGGTCCCTCTACTTGCGTCGTTTTCGGCGACATCAGCTGACGCGACCCGCGCACATGCGCCTGCACAATGCGTCGACAGGCCGCCCCGAGCTGGTACCCACCTGAATGCAGAGTGTTTGAACGGCACCACGATGAGCACCTTGGGCCGCGTGAGGCCCTGGTCCCGGTAGCTGTCCGGCACGTCGTCCTTCTTCGACACCTTCGAGTTGTGGTGAACGATCCGTGACCGGGTGCGCAGCACGTGGCTCAGAGCGTGCGCACAGTACACCTGCCGGGGGTCCCAATCGGTGTTCAGTATAGCATTGCATGCATGGATAGTGCTGGCGGGCCACTTCGTAGCGAATAAATCGACGATCGCTCCCACAAAAAGCTCCCTACTTCATGTGCATTGCGCCCGTGCAATCAGAACAGCGCACTACACATATGACTGGAATGCATTTCCACATCCTAGGCAAGAGAGGCGGTCACCCGTCCAATGAGCAACTCCCGCGGGCACTTATGTTAAATTGTCGCATGCTACATGTTCGCCTCTTACAGGCCAGATCAGTGATCAGGCGGGCCGTGCTCACCACGCGCAGTTCATCCTCGTTTTGTAGCGTTCTGTGAGGGAAGTAGAGGTCGCGGTACTCGCTGATCAGCGACAGCACCTCCTGCTGCAGCTCCGTCAGAGGCCGTGAAAACAGCTTCTCGTTCAGCACCGCCACGTTGGAAGCTGTTGATGATGCAAAACCAGATACAGTAAACTATCAGTCTCAACAGTCCCCGCAGTCTCCGGATAAGGCGCACTGCGACTAAATATCACCGTCTCCCACGGAGACGAGGTCTTGCACCTAGTGTCCTAGCCAATGCCACACATACACATCCTGCCCAGAAGTTCCTGACGGCAGTAAACATTCTAGCCCACCCCCGCGGTCCCCGAGCCCCACGGCGTCCCGCCCCCGCCGGCACACCGCTCACCGATCTGCTGACGGACGCCGTACCCCTCCGGGTGCTCGTGCCGGCCGAAGACGGGACTGCTGAACAGCCGCACGTGTTCGGCCTGCTGCACGGCCGACAGCAGCGCACCGGCCGCCTCCACCGGCCGGTGCTGGACGATCAGCGCGCCCAGCCGCGGCCACCGCTGCCGCTCACTCTGCCACCTGGTGGCCGTCTGCAGCGACTCGCCCACCGGCTCCGGCAGGTTCTGCTCGAAGTGCTGCGCAAACGGCGTGGTGGGCGCGTCCTGCGGGCGGGAAGCGGTGGGGCGGCTGACCTTGGACTAGGGCATCGAGCGCTGTGTCTGGCCGCGCCCGGCCCCATTAGCATTGGCCACACTTTTGTACACCCAGTGACCACACAATAATCCAAAACATGACCCAGTGAAGCCCATGCTGTTCTGATGAACAGGACATATTGCTATAGACTGCAAGCGATCATTCTCAGCTCTCAGGGAGCAATGCATGAGCTTATTTGTGCTGCATGAGGCCCTGATTAAATCCACCATTTCAAGAAAGGTTTTCTGCCGCATACCATGAGTCCCATAAAATTCATCAAATAGACAGTAAAGAGAATTCACTGACCTCAGCATCACGGGCATCTGCTTTGCTGTCCTCTTCCACCAGGGCATCATCATCACTCATGGCCTCATCCTCTAATGCACTGTCAGCTTCCTCTGCCCCCACCTTATCACTCTCTACATCATCGCCACTCTCTCCATCGTCCTCCTTCACAACTGACCCGGCCCCATCCTCATCCTGCCTGTCCTCAGCACATACTACTGCGTCCTCCTCCTCTCCTCCCGATTGCTCCACCTCCTCCTCAGAGTCCTCCTCATCGCTCTCCACGGCGACAGCGCGCCGCCGTCGGCCGCCCACTAGCTGCAGTACCTCGTCCAGCGCCGTCGGCTCTTCCTCGCTCTCACTCTCTGGCTGCCAGGCAGCTGGCAGAGGTGCCAGACGCCCATTGGCCGCGGCAGGCGGCGGTGGCTGCGGCTCCGCGCAGGTCCAGGACGCCCCGCGGCCCCGACCGCGTCCCCGGCCGGGCTTGTGGTATGGTCTTCCTCTGCCACCGCCATCACTGCCACGGAGGCCTGAGTGCTTCCTGCGGTTGTTAAACTTCCCCATGCTATGAGCTAGTGTTGGAGGGCTTTGATAACTATTGGCTGAAAGGAGAAGCATGACATAAGCTGAGTAGTAAGAACTAAGAGGTTTGTCAAACACAAGAGCTTTGTGGTGCACTTTGAACCTTGCTTATGCAACACTGCCTAACATTGCACTGGAAAATTCAATTTTTTCACCATTATCATTCAACAGTTATAGGCAGGGTGTAGCTTGCACATTCACAAAATGCTGTGTTGGATTAGTAACATTAGCTGCTATATTTTTTATTAGCAGCATATGTAAGTATTGGGTCTATACCTGCTTAGGTATTAGCTGATGCTGTTAATGTTTTAGATCACTACATATATGGTATTTAAGTATCACACAAAATAGTCAGTCATTTACACCATAAATGTCTGTTTAACAGAAAAATCATTGTATCATTATGATCTAATTTATTTTAAATGTAGCTCAGTAGCTTCCACCAGGCTATGTCAGGCAATGCTACATAGTTCCAAAAAGAAAAGCCAATGATTGGTGCAAGATGCTGTCATGACTGAAATCAATATTTTCTGAACCAAACATAGTATTTATACTACTGCACTTTTAAAAAGTGGTGAGCCCCAGCAACCTATTGTGTCCAGCATTGTACTTTGGAGGTAACTTATCATGACATTTCAAACCTGGGCTGAAATAGGGGCATGATGTAACCTTTTCACTTATTTGATACCATGATTAAAATTGGATTAGCATGTCCGGAACTGAGCATAAGGTAACCCAAGGATGGGAAGATATCAAAATGTCATTTCACGATTTCAATATCTATGAGAACTTTCTGAAATCATAAAAGAGGGACAAAACTTCAGGCACCAAGTTGCATGGCCAGGTAACTAACAGGTAACTAATTTTACTTTTCACAGGAGCTGATTACTGACAAAACACCCAAGGGAAAACAATATTGCATTTACTCAGAAAATAAATTTTCCTAGCCGAACAGTCTTAGTTGCCAAAAATACCAACCATTGTAAATTTTAATCCATAGCCAGTCTTTAAGTCCCAACCAAACAGCAGTGATTTCCATTGTGAGCTCTTCCTGGTTCTGATTTCTCTCAGTTTACATACCTGAGGTTCCACACAAATATAATGGCAAAAGACCCGATGTAAAGCATGTCATAACAGCTTTACTATCACCATGTTGCCAGGAGATAACAATGTGAGGTAAATTCAGAGTGTTCTTTATCTTCCGGCCCAAAACGCTTGCGGAGGGAAGGGCGTCGGCTTAGGTCTGTAATGAGGACCGGCTAATCAGCCGACGAAACGTCGCTGCTAGGCTGGGCAAATCATCCCAATGACAAGCTTTGTGCCCCTCATGACGTCACTGGTAGAAATGTGAAAAATGGACTTCTTTTACTTCTCACAATATCACAAGGATTCACCAGCCACTTATGATGTTAACATTGAAAACCAAGCAGACATTCGTAATAACACGTGTCCTTTATCCCACTGATGACGTCACTGGGACGAATGAATCGGTCATCAGTTGAAAACTTGCAGCGGGACACGTTTTTCGGGCTGTGTTTTCCCGCTGCTCACGACGTTCCGGGAGACTGTTACGGTGTACGTGCATCTACCTACGTACTCGTGGTTTACATTTTTGTGCCATTTCAAAAATAAATGAAGAAAAAAATAAGCTGCGTTTTGGCCACTGCTCATGACGTAACATCACACGAGTTATGGTCTTCGTTTCGTATCACTAGAGAACATGATAATGGCGAGAGACCACCTTTCCCAGCACGCTTCCTCAAGAAACTACTGCAAGAAGGTCCAAGTAATCCATGAACAAATCGTATTCAGACATGTCCACACTAACTTGCAAATGGGGCCGGAAAAAGGGCATGAACTGACAACGTTTTCGGCTACCGGCATTATCTATCTCTAACAAACATTCCAAAATAGTGTCCACCGGCGCAACCACTGGTGGACACCATTTTGACACGATTTAGACGGCAATGGTTTTTCCTAGACTTGAAACGCGGATTCCGTGAGTGTTATGGCACGCGCACCATTAGACACTTTCTGAGAATGTATGTGGAGCATTAACGTTATGACATGGATAGGAAGAATCGACTACAATATGACTATCAGCTCCCTTACTCTCTGAGACGTTCCTCCGTCTATGTTTCGGGTGCCAACGCCAGACCTTGTATTACATTTGCGGCCCAACTCTTCAATTTACCTTCCGCCGTCTGCTATGAACTGTCCAGTTTCAATGCGTGACGCTGCTTTGCTGCGTTTGGAAACGACTGCATGGTGTTTGAAATTATTCTTGAACAAAATACCTTTTAGGTGAGTCCACTTCAAGTCAATAGTATGACCGTTGATGGGCGTAACCGTAGTTTTTACGTTTCGGCCATATATATTCCATATGCCTTATGCACCCATTTCAAACGTGCCAATTTACTTTCAACCGATGCAGTTATCAACAACACTATTTCAAGAAAGCGTTTGATGTGGACAGACCATGCTGGCGGCCGATACGAGAAGAGGTGTGTTTTAATCGTATCACCGACCCTATTGGTAACTCTCGTTCTATTGTGCGCTTGTCGAGATGTGTACCGCTTTTCCGCTTGTCATATTTGACCGTTGGACACGATTTTTCAGGTAAACATACCTTTCATGGTGTACACATTTAGCCGCACGCACATCATGTTTCCCGCTCGAAGGCGTTTGAGCATTGCGTGAGCCTTAACGCACGCTCTGGTTATGTGCCCTGGAGGCTGTGTTACAGCCCGTGACAAGCTAACCGGGGCTGGAATATTCCATATGCCGTTTAAACAGCTTAAGAATGATGTCCACTTGTCGTTGCACTGATGGAGGCTATATTGAAACGCTTGAAATGGACAACTCATACTGGGGGCCGAAACGTAAGGAGTCCGTTATAAATATCTATCACCAGCCCTATTGTTAACTCCGCTTCTCTGGTGCGCTCGTTGGGATGTATACTGCTTTTTCGCGTTCCAAATTTGACTGCTGGATATAATTTTTCAGGTTAGCATACCTTTCATGGTGCATACATTTAGCCGCATGCACACCGTGTTTTACGCTCGAACCCTTGTGGGTATTGCGTAGGCCTTAACGCACGCTCTGGCTATGTGCCGAATAGGCCGTGGTGCTGCCCGTGAAAAGCTAACCTGGGCTAGAATATTTCATATGCCGTTTAAACAATTTTAGAATGATGTCTGCTAGTCGTTACACCGATGGAACTACATTGACACGTTTGAAATGGACAAATGATACTGGCGGCCGAAGCGTAGAGTTCACTTTACGCCTAGCTTCGGCCCTATTGCGAACTCCGAATGGGCGCACCCGAATGACATCTTGTTCAGGAAGGAGCGGTCCACTGTCTCTTGATGATAGCGAAATTGTATGCATAGTTTTAAAATGATGTTGCTAGTGATATCATCGATTTAAACTATGCTGGCACGTTTGAAATGGCCAGACAGTGGTCGCAGCCGAATCGTAATGAGTCCGCTTATGTCTGTCAACGACCACTATTGCTAACAACGATTGGACATATTTCAATGCAAGTTTATTTAGGAATCATTTGAACCTCCAGTACTTTCTAACTGTAGCAAAGTTAGGTCATGGAGTCAAATTGGACATTACATGGCAGGCGGTCGTAATGGAAATGAGTAATGTTTCGAAGTGGTGATTTGGCGACGGGCGCTACCAGCCGGAAGTGGACTTTCTTATTCATTTTTCTGAACTCACGTAGCGTTTTCTCTGTTCTGTAATGTGTGACCAACACGTTTTATTGTATATACACATAACCGCATACAAGCCTTGTATCAGGTTCGCAGGCGGTTAGGTATTGCGTTGGCCTTAACGCACGCTGTGGCTTTGTGCCCAACAGGTCATGGTGGGCCCCGAGGAATAATCCATCGCGGCTACAATGCTTTCAGGGTCCTGACCATGATACATGAATGTTCAGATGAACACACGTTCTATGGTACACTATATAGCAAAAACAAGCGAGTTTCGGCTGGCGGGCCGTTAGGTGTCACGTCGGACAACTGGGCACATGGCACGCTGCTCCTATTTGCCCAATTAGCAGCAGCCTGGTCCCCGGGAATAACCCGCCAACAAGAATATATGAATTGTCATTTAGACAGTTTTGGAATCGTGTCGGCTAGTGATTTCACTGATGGAAACTAAACTGACACGTTTGAAAACGGCAGATAATGCTGACGGCCGAGTCGTGGAGTCAGTTCATACCTATCACCAGCCACATTGTTAACTCTGCTTCTCTTGTGTGCTCGTTGGGATGTGTGATTCGTTTCACCGTGTCATATGTGACCGTTGGACTTTATTTTTCAGGTAAACGCACCTTTCATGGTAAATACATTTAGCCGCATCCACACCGTGTTTCACGCTCGAAGGCTCGTGTGGGTATTGCGTAGGCCTTAACGCACGCTCTGGTTATGTGCCCTGGAGGTAGTGGTACTGCCCGTGACAAGCTAACCGGGGCTGGAATATTCCATATGACACTTTTAACAGACTTTTACAGCTCTATCACAATGTCCACTAGTCACTGCACCGATCGAAACTATACTGACACGTTTGAAATGGGTAGATAGCGCTGGCGGCCGAAACGTAGAGTCCGCTCATGGCTACCGCCGGCCCTATTGGTAACTCGGAGTGGACTTAGCTCGATGATGTTGTGTCCAGGAATCATTTGGAGCACCTTGCAGTAGTTTATGAATGCAGAACAGCGATCCCATGCAGTGAAATTCGAGATTTCACATCAGACGAGAGGAAGGTAAATGGAAGTGCTTGGCTGGGAAGGTAATATGTGGACTGGCGCTGCGTGTCGAAACCTAGGCAGATGAACGGCTCTGAAAGAGGCGTCGCTCATACTCATTTTGAAGTTAATTTTTTCATTGGTTGCCATGGGGTAAATTTCAGCAATTTTGGAAGGGGGGTGGGGGTGGGTTGCCATGAAACGCAGAGATCCCACGTTTCTACGCTAGCAGCCCAAAAGGCACAACGTGATTGATTTCCACGCCCCAAATGTGATGGCTTCTCTCTCATGTGATGCGTCACTATTACACTAGATTTTTTCAAACAAAGACACGTTTCATGCCATTCACATATAGCTGCATGCGAACCTTGTGCCATGCTCACAGGCGGGTATGTATTGCGTCGGCCTGAACGTACGCTGTGGGTTTGTGCCCAATAACCAGTGTTTGCCCGCGGTAGTAACCTGCCCAGTGATGTATACTGCATTTATTCTCTGAGCATTTTTAAAATTATTTCGACACCATTCAACATCATTCAGAATTACGTGTTGTTCAGTGCATTAGCGAGGAACATTACTCACATAGATAAGATAGTAGCATTAACCTTATTCCTCGGAGAAAAACCAGGACAATGGGGATATAGTTCGGTTGATATTTCGGCAGCATGCTTTATCGAAACAATAGCAGAAGCAGCCTTCAAATAGCAATAGCAATAGCAATTCAAAAACAATAGCAGTAACAAACTTCTGCTACTGTTTCAATAGAGACATGTTGCCGAAATACTAACCGAACTATATCTTCATTGTCCTGGTATTTCTGCGAGGAATAAGGCTAATAATATTGTCCTATCAACACCATTTAACTCTACGCGTTAATGGCTTCTTATATCTGTATATGTTTGCGGTTCCTCACTGAATAATGAAGAGCGCATGAATGCATCTGCCATTGAAGCATGCAGTAACATATGAAAATATAGAAACATATATATATATATATATATATATATATATATATATATATATATATGGTCTAAGGTCTAATCCGATGTCCAAAGGTCAAAGGTCCGATCAAAAGTCTAATATTTGGATCAGACATTGCCCGCTTGATTGCCATTTGTTCTTGATTGCCATGTGGTTCTCATCCCACACCATGTCCAGCAGCAGCTGTTCCAGACGGACCCAGCACCCGCTACGCTGAAGGACTGGCTGCACCGTGGCCTATGCGTGTTGCGGCAGCTCGCGGAGCAGCGCGATGCTCCGGAAAAAGTTGCGCAAGCCAAAGTCGCAGCTGCTGTTCTGCCGGATGGCGGACCATACCGGCACGTAATGGCCGACCTCGCACTGGACGAGGTCCTTGAGAGCGCTGCTGGAGGTCTCGGTAGAGGTGTAAGCCAGAGGCGAGCGGCCAGTGTCAATCATTTGAAAACAAAGGCGAATATATTAGAACAATTCGCTACGAACTAAGCATTTGGTCATGCAATAATTGTTGCGCCTCTTTAGTGTTTGTAATTATGCCGATATCCAGAGTCCTTAAATGTGACAGAACACATCAACAAAAACATGCCAGTAAGCATGAAACAACCAGCAAATGATATGCGTACTGCAGCACAAAGTATGGTAATGAGGAAATGCTCAGCAGTGAGCACATAAAATATCAGTTGATACTTGGTGAACTTAAAACATTAATTGCTATCAATTCGAATATAATGCGTTTTCATATTTCCCTGACATGGTTCGATGGTCCGATTCGCCGCTGGGCTGCTACGTTTCGGACAGAGCCATTTTGAACGCTGGAGGCCAGAAGGTACAACAGCTGATGGTTGCTGCTCAGCTGCTGAATCAGGTCGACCGGCAGGTTTGGCACTCGCCCCGACCTAAGCTTGAATGCCACAACGTCCCTCCCCCAGACCTCTCCGGCACAGATCTTGTCGATGTGTCCGGAAAATTTCGATCCCGTGGTCGTGTCATCCAACCTCAGCAGCAGATAGAGGAGGTTCAGCTCGTTGCCGTGCAGCTGGCAGATAAACCAGTGTACGGGTGACTCGGTGGCCAGCCCAAACAGCCGAGACACGTCGCCTATCTTTTCGGTGTTGACGGTCGTGCCATCGCAGCCGAGCATATTGATGTGACCATCGCACTGCGGGTTCACGGAGTGTAGCTCGTTGAACAAGTACAGGGCGTGGCCGAACTCGGACGTAAAATGAGTCACGTAGCGGCTGCCTGGCTCAGTGATGACAACCACATGTTTTTTGATGGCAGTCGTCCGGCTCTGTGTGGCTCATGTAGCTCCTGCCTTCGCGCCCGTCGGAGTAGAGGACGGTCAAACCTGACTCGTGGATTACTCCACCATTTTGACGATCCGTCTCTTTTCTCCTTCTGTCTCTTGCGCAGCAGGTCCTCTTAGGATCTACGATATTTGATTTCAAGTAGCCAGTCCGTCTCTGCTGTTTTGTCGAAAGGCGATGATAGCAGCAGCGACCCGTTTCGAGCCACCGTTGCTGTCAACCGCCAGAGTGGTGCTAGTCAGATCGTTTACGTTATAATCTATACAGATTGGTAATCGTTTGTTGTAGCGTTAACTGTAACGTTATAATCTATAGAACCGTTGAGACCACTGCCACAGTGGTCTCAACCGGAACGAACAATAGGCGTCGTCGCCATCCTCCACAACGTACGGAACAGTGAATGAATACATGAATCCCTGCTCTCAGCTGACTCGTCAACGCTGAGACCACTTGTTTCCGGAGCAGGCTCGGGGTCAGCACTAGTATCCAGAGCTGGCTCAGCAGGCGGCGCGGGCCCAGCAGTCGGCGGGGATGGCGACTCAGGCTCAGCAGCAGACACCGCTTCACTGGCGGACGAGCCGCGACGCCCCTGGAGTTGTTTGGCCACCCTCCGCATCTCGCGAGCCTCTTTAGTTACGATCGTATCCCGGTCATATGACCCCAGGGTAAGCTTCTGGTGCCTGCCTAGGTCCATCATGGCAACCTCTTTCTGATACACTGTGCAGGCAACTGCGCATGGAAAACTGCACTGAGGCTTGTGCTGGCATTTCGCGACATCAGGAAGCTTGCTGAATTTCGCGGTGGCGGCGTTGATGTGTCACTGTCTTTCTGTCTTTGATTTCTTGCTGATAGCTCTGTTTGGATGATATAAATCCCTTTCGATCAATTTTGCCACATATTTTAAATCATGAACAGGGGTCGCTTCGTTGATCCACAGTGACGTGATTATTACCGTCGCGGTCTTAAGATGGTATTAGTGAGATTCCTCTTCGATTCGCTCAGTCACCTGATGTACCTCAAGGCTTTCCCGTAGTCGGCAGCTGGTGGTGGGACAATAGGGCCGGGTGGCCTGTCACAAAATGTTTTGTTCGCGACCGTGTAGACTTCGGCATGCTTATGCAGTTAATTGCTGGGAAGAAATATTTTAGTGCCAGCAAAATTAAATTAATAAACACATATCTCCCACGCAAAAAGCACATAAATTGCAAATCGAAATCACAATGATGTGTTAGCAATAACAAACTTGAACCTAACCCGGTCTGCTGGAGCATTGTCATAACTGCACGGCGTTGGGTTTTACCAAAACGTATTGTTCTCTACTAAGAAGTCAGCTTAAAAGCTGTTTGGTAACGTTTACTGGTGCTCTTCATGCTCTCTTTTTCATACTTCATTCACCAAGTACCAGTAGCGTGGAAAGTGGCAGCTTTTAGGTCTGCTGGAGGATGATACCATTGCGTACAATAGGTGGCGCTAGTATCGAATGCGTTTTTCTTGACCTATCAAAAAAAAAAAAAAACTGCTCTCGCCTCAATAATATCAACATGGTGTGGTGTGACCGACCTGAAGGTTTGACATTTATCAGTGTGCCAAGGAAAAACTTTGTTTCAGCTGATCCCAAGAGATTCACCCTTTCAATGACACCCTTATCAGCTATGATGCTTCGTGAGAAGCTAATTGTTGTGTTCTTATAATTGCAGCCATGAGAGGTGATATATTCGCTTCCCTCCATGTTTGCTTGTTCCTTGCTTGACCTCATCTGGATCCCGCTTTCAAAGACCAGCCCATGCGCCAAGTCGTGGTCTATCCGCAGTCCGGTCCGGTGATTGGCTTTGGCGCTTTTGAAACTTCTCCCGCCAGACCAATTAGAACATCTTCATGCATGCGCCAAATTGCACGCGCTTGACGTCAGGAGATTTGGTGCGAGCGATCAGCTGATCGGCCAAGGCCATCGATCGCCGTAACAGCATCGGCCAGATTGCGGTGAATCCGGCATCGAATAAGACCAAGGTATGTATAACAATGATACAGGAATGTATAATGCGGATGAGAAAGCAAAAGTTTTGCATAAGTAAAGTTCGGTCCACTGTTTTACAAAGTCTTTAGTAGTGGAGGTGTGCTCAGGGGGGCAGCAGAGAGCAGTTTTGTGGTGCTTATTGCAAATTCTCCTGAAATACGATGCGCGATCGAGTAGGCGTTAGGCGTCTAGCAGCGGACCGTATGTAACAGCACTCCGTCAATTGCCAGAGGATTATGATACTGTCGGCATTAAACATGATGCGTCACGAGAGACGGAGCGAATGCTGCGTGTCCGTTAATTTTGAGGAGGCGTGCGCTTAGAGACTGGGTGGGGAGAGGGCAGAGATACCACAGGCCAGTGCGCGCATGTCTCGTGCCAAAGAGGCACCAGTTGTATAAGTCGTAGAAATAACACTGCGGAATATGTAAAGGAGATTTCCTGCCATAGACCCAAATGGTACACAATCAGATCCACACGGAAAAACTAGCGTACAGGGGCTCACGCATGGATGCAAATGACGAATGACGAAAAATGGCTAGTTACGCATTAAGACGGTGAAGCGTGCGTTGTAAACCGGCCTTGAATAAAGGTTCTAACCTTGATTTGATTTGTGGTAGGTAATTGCGTGTTCAGATGACCCATCATCTGTCTAATAGCCTATGCGCGACCGAACATCGGAATGGCGAGAATGGCTGTACGGCTGGGGTCTGACGAGTCGTCAAGTATATGGTATTGCTCGTTGTGTGCTGTTAATACGATTTTATGGTGTTGAAAGCTCATGTTGATGGTTGGACTGCCATTATGGAATATTTTACTTTTCAGCACCCCTTGGCTTCCCATGCAACGGCAGCAGAGATGAGGTTAGTCAATTGACAACAACATCGCGAAGATCATTAGCGTGATGTGTGGTATATATATATATATATATATATATATATATATATATATATATATATATATATATATATATATATATACATCACTACATGCTTCGACTATACTAATAGGTACATTAACACCCATTTACATTTCATTATTTATGGGTGACCGTAAGCATACATCAATGTCAGAAATAATTCAATCAAAGAGTTGAATGATGCTGAAATATTAAATAATGTTGAAATAATTTTAAAAATGCTCAGAGAATAAATGCAATATGCATCGCTGGGCAGATTACTACCGCGGACAAACACTGGCAATTAGGCACAAACCCACAGCGTACGTTCAGGCCGACGCAATACCTACCCGCCTGTGAGCATGGCACAAGGTTCGCATGCAGCTATATGTGAATGGCATGAAACGTGCGTTTGTTTGAAAAACCTAGTGCTATAGTGACGCATCACATGAGAGAGAAGCCATCGCATTTGGGGCGGGGGAGCCAATCACGTTGTGACTTTTGGGCTGCTAGCGTAGAAACGTGGGATCTCTACGTTTCATGGCGCCCCACCAGGGGTGTCGATTTCTTGAAAACTTTGGGGGGGGGGGCAACCCAGTGGTCGATTCAGCCGCCAGGCATAGGCGAAAACAAATGCCCGATTCATGGGTTAGCCTCCACTCATCCCCCCCCCAAAAAAAACTAATCGCATTCCGGTCAGTTAGTTTTCGTTTTGATCCTTTCCGTTTTATAGAGAAGATTTCAGTTCTTATGAACTAAAGGCAGAAATGCTAGCGAGTTGGGCGCACTCCACATTTGACAAAACCTGCATTTTTCGAGAAAAAAAAACAGGTTTATACCCCCAAATCGCGTTGTGGGAGGTCATTACCACCATACCACTTCCCCCGGTCTCCCAAAGCAGCCAATGGACAGAGTGGGATCACAGAGCTCCTAATTACAATCACAAAATTCATTCAATTTTGGGTGTGTATTTTCAGTCTCGAGCAACACATTTCAACCCCCATAAAAGAAAATGGAGCCTCTCTTCCTGCCTTCAGGGAAGGATATCCATTGCGCTCTCACAAACTTAAAAAGCAGCCTCGTTTGACCTGTCGTAAGCGTTGGTGCAGCACTGTAGAGGCAACGGCGGCGGCGGCTCAACAGTGGCATATAGCTACGAAGGTGACAGCACAACACTGGGCAGTCGTAGCGGCGACGACATACCACTGGACGACAGCGGCGGCTGCTAGGCGCTGGACAGCGGCGGTAGGTGCAAGCACTTTATGACCTACCAGCGGCCGAAAGTGTTGCACCGCTGACTTGACGCTGAGGCGAACTGCTTCAGTTCGGCCTGTAGATCCAGGGCGTCCACCATGTCTGGGTATGTGGCCAGCACTGCGGCGTGATTTAGCCGTTCTTGGCCTAGGGTAGAGCGCAGCCATCCCCTCAGCCGACGAAGAAGACTGAACGCCCGCTCTGCCGCGCACGATGTTGCTGGGGCGGTCAAGACCAAACGCAGCAGCGAGGTAGCGGCTGGCGGCACCTGCCGCAGGCCCTCATCGCTCAGTAGGGCCACCACGTCGTCGAGGGAGGTCAGTGGTGCCTTTCTCTGGCTTGACGCCACATCCACCAACATCTGGCAATGGAGGCGGAGTCGCTCCAGGTCCAGGTTGTAGAAGGTGGCGGTTGCCACCAGCGCGTCCTCTTCCGCCGTAAGGAGCGCCTTTTCGGCCATGGCTAGAGTGGGCTCATCTGAGTCGAACCGACCGCTGATGGAGCCGGCCAACCAGTCGACGGCTTCGCAGTACACCTGGCGGTAGCGGCCTTTGGGACAGGCATACTGGTGCGGCTCGGAGCCCCCCGTCCAGTCGCCGAGGTGGTCGAAACGGGCGTCGCAGCCTGGGACACCCCACTCCCAGGCGCTCCGCGTCGGACGTCAGCTCCGCCCAAAGGCGTTCGAAGCGGTCACGCTGGGACAGGACGACATCCCTGGCAGCACGTGCAACCCCCAGGTTGGCAGACACCGGCTGCGACTGTCCCTGCATAGTGCGCATGGCGGGTGTGGTCACCTGGAGCACGAGCAGAGCAACGCGCAGGCCAAAGAAAAACTCAGTCTCTGAGGGTTTTGCCAAAGCCGCTAGCAGTGGCTGACACTTCCGGACGCACCTTAGCATCGTCCGCGAGCTCATCAAGGCTGGTCACCAGGGGCCCGTACTGCTTGACCACGGAGGTCAGGCACGCCTCGCTGCAGGTCCATCGGGTGGGGCACAGCGGACGCAGGGACATCTGGGCTCCAGCGTGCTCTAGCGCAACCATCCTCTTCGGCGAGTCGCGGTAAAAAGATACCAGTCGACCGACCTCCTGGATGGCGTCCCGGACCTCTCGCACGCCGTTCAGTGCCTCCTGACAGACCAGGTTCAGGCGGTGGGCCGTGCAGTGGACGAACGCTGCGCGCGGCTCTACCGCCTTCACTCTGGCCTGCACGCCTCGGAAAGCGCCGGCCATGTTGGCAGCGCCGTCGTAGCACTGACCACGAATTCGGTCCATCGGGAGCTGAAGACGAGTGAGGGCATCCTGGATGAGACCAAACAGTGCTGCGGCCGTGGTGGAGTCAGCCTGATACAATCCAATGAACGTCTCCCTGACGGTCAGCGCCTCTGTGACAAAGCGCAGGCAGATGGCCATGTGCTCACGCCCTGCCACGTCTGCCGTCTCGTCTACCACGACGGCGAAGGACTCTGCCGCACCCACTTCGTCCACCACCCTCCTGATCACGGCATGAGCCAGCTGCCGCTGCACCTCCGCCAGTGCCTCTGGGCTGGTGAAGTGCATCCGGCTCTCCTTGCGCCGGGCGAGCCACCGCTTCAGTACGGGATCGTGCTGCGCCACGGTCGTCAAAAACCGAATGACATTTCCGGCCTCCTCGTCCCTGCGGTGGAGGGCCAAGCCCTGCTTTGAGCAATAAGTGGCAGCGTCAAATATCTGTCGCAGAGCGTGCCGCGCCTCCTCCTGCTCCCTCGCCTTGCCGACGCCGGCGAGCGCTGCCACGCTACTTGGTCCGCTGGCGGTGACCAGGCTTTGTACAGCCAGTTGGTGGCAGGCGCTGGCTTCGTGGGCTCGAAAGCGTTCCAGCGCCCGCTTCCACGCACTAAATCCTCGAGCCGTGAAGGCGGCGTCACGCTCTGTGGCGCTCCCCAGAAGCCCCCGACTCTCGGCTGCGACGCACTTTCGGCAAAGGACGCCCTCCAAATGTGTGCTGTACTCCAGCCAGGGGTAACGACGACGCCACTCGGGTTGGAAGGTGCGCCGGTGTCGGGACAGTGCTGTGGCATCGGCAGACGTCTCGGCGCGGTCAACGGAGGAATCAGGTGACTCGGCTCGGTCGGTAGCAGGATCAGATGGATCTTTGGAAGGATACGATGCTCCGATTAAAACCAGAGATGCACTGTACAGCTGATTCCAGATGGTTCAGCTTTACACGTACCAAAGTGAATATGTATATGTGATACAGCAATCCACAAAACTGTGTAGGCCTGTGGGGTCTGATGTCGCACAGAAAACGGGCTTTCTGACGTTTTCACACGTCGACGGACTTACCTTCCTATTTTTTTATTTTTGTATTCGGGCATGAGTGTCTTTTGATAAAGCACGGCGTCAGTCACAAAACAGCGACGAACGACGCGGCGAAATCTTTCGAGGCAATTAATTCGAGCAGCACGAGACGCAACCCGAGTGTCTGATTCATACTCAATAAAATCTGATGGACTTGCCTCGAGCGACTGCTAGTGCTCCTAAGATCCAGCCGGCAGACATTTACAACCTGGGAAGCTGCTTAGCATAAAGCCGTCGAAATCATCCGGAGAAGATGGCGCGAGTGTGACAATGTGACAAAGCATTCTTATCGGGCTTCGGTCTCGCCCTTCTTAACAAGGCAAATTATAGGCTGACCACTGGATTTGTCCGAGCTGCGTAACAGCGCGCCCTTATCATATCCACGCCAGTGAGAAAGGCAGCCAACAGCAGCCCTACCGATGCGCGCACCATCTCCATTTTACTTAACGTGAATATTGTTGAGCGACACGTAGACAAAGTTGATCCCCACCTTGGAAACACACTAACCATTGACTTCTACGCAAGATGGATCTCAAAAACATCGCTCCACCGAGACAGTCTTCAGCGCCATCTCTGATCTCGTCATCCATGCCAAGGGCAACGGTGATATTTTGACTTTACTTTTCTGGGGTCTTTGAAAATGTCTAGATGCCGCGCATCGCCAAGGCTTTTCGCTTACAACCTAATGAGTGTATATCTTGATACCAAGTGGTTCTCTGACTATTTGGCGGGTGAAGCCACTGGTGCCAACATGCTGTGAAGAGGCTTCCAACATTTTGCCTCCACCGAAAGATAAAAAATGAAGATAATTCAAGGGGAAGCCTCGACTGTATACTAAACATGCTGTTTGCGAACGACGGAGTACCAGCGCGCCCGACGGCGTCACGACTGCTTGCTTTTTTGTTACATGTAACAAACCGGATTTGACACATATCATCCATCATTGGGACAGCTCTAAACCCTTAGACCAATAGTTTAAGCCTCTGGACCGTGCTTTTTCCACAAGATGGAGGCCAACACCATACAAACTATAATGTATATACTTGCCACGCCAGCAATGTTGAGAAGGCTTCCTGCTATCATGAAAGCCTGTGTGGATTGTAGTGAAAGATGCCAAGATGGTAGGAAATGAAAAATCCAAAGGAGTCGCCACCTCAAACACGAGCCACTCTTTATCTGGCCAGTTTCATATGCCTACTGGCAGGTGACATGCAGCTTACCCTTCACTATCCATATCCTACCAAGAACATCACTGGTGAGGAATGATGAACTCCATGGCAGGGAGTGTGATTAGAGCTACATGACACACTCAGCTACTGAGACTTTATGGCATCGCCTGGCTCTCCCCTTCACAGAATGGGCTGGGAGCACAGGGAATCAAACCCTGTTCTGATGGTTTCCCTGAAACATAACAATACTTCTGCACAAATGATGCGCTATGGCACAAGATACATACCTTTCAAAAATGACACTATCAGCTACACTCACTGGAAGTAGATGGATCTCCACATTGGTCAGGATCCGGAATGGAGGCAGTAGGACTATAAAGAGGTTGGGTGCATGGCAATGGCCAGAGCCAAGGACACCTTCCAGAAAATAGCAATGGATACCTTTATCCCATAATGCACCAGTCATTGTCCAAACATGCCATAAATCTCTTGAACTTGAACCTCTTGAACTGATTATCATAGGAAAGCATAGGGAGCACATCATAGGCATAAGACAAAGATATGGGGAACATGAAATCAAGAGGTAATTTCATTCATCCACATTGGGGTTTATGCCTACAATGACTATAGACATGCCAAATGCACATATGATTGATTGCAAAAACAGAACAGCCTTGATCTGAAGTCAAGAATGGTCATCAACTGTCACGATAGTCCAGAGCATGTCGGCTTCCCATAAAATTTAACATGTGCATAATAAAAAATAAGCCACTCAGAAAAAGGAACAATAGAGAAGTAATGAGGGCTACACACAGTAGTGACAGATCTCTGAGGACACAAGGCATTCTAGAACCTGGCATTACTGCAGGAAAGCAAAGTTTCAACACCAATATGAGTTGAAATGTTTTCTCTAAAATTTGCATGTGTCCATTTTAGGTGCCAGGAATGCCTGGAAAATTCAGTAATTTGTTTCTCACTGTTGCCCAAGCCTGAAGCAGTCACAGCAACAATGACCTGCAGTGAGCATGCTACAGTGATGTGAGAAATAAAAGCTGTAGGCTTTAACTATATGGGGATATGTACTTCTTTGGCAATCTTACTTGCCATCTGTCAAAGAACAAGCTGATGCTGGACTATTTTGATCTCTTCATCCTTTCACTCCCATTGACAATCTCTGAGATATGTACCAAAAAAAAATTTCATGCATCAAGAATGCTCTGAAATGACTGCAACATTAGGCACCATTGGACATGACAAGCATGTTTTCTTTAGCTATAAAGTTAAACTACTAGAAAATTGACTACTTATCTACACTTGTATGCACATGGCAAAGAGGACCAGGCAATAGTTTATCCATTCATGATATTTTGATACAAAGGGTGAGGGCACATCGGACTATGGCTTAGACGGAAACCACCATTTGCCCACATGATCTTATATATCCCTGCTCCTCTTCCCCCTTCCCAGTTCGACGACGTTTTGTGTGTGTAAATATGCAGCATATGTGGTTGTGAGTATTTCTTTTACAACTCAGTATGAGGCTCATGAATTATGCTTAACTCCAAGCTAGCCCACTTATCCAGTTGGACTGGCTGACCCCTCCTACCAACAAATGCCACGATCCGCCTGGGCCAGGGCTATCGCCTGGGCCTCCCGGCGCGGTGAAACACCCGCGCCTCTTTCCGTAGCTCATTATTGGCATCCTTTTTCCTGCGTTGGTAGAGAATATTATGCCTAACTCACGGGGGGCTGTGTCATGATTTAATGTAGTTTTGGGACTTTGCAATTTAAAGCTGTTTTTCTGTACATTTTTGCATGTTATAGAGATTTTGTCGCTAGAAAGGCTAATAAAGTGCTTTCCATCCCCGCCAATCATGGATATCGAGAGCAAATACAAATATTGCAGTGTATTTTCCGACTTAACCGTAACAATTCATGACGCATCAGTGTCAGACGGACGCACCGCCGTAGCATGCGGCATGGCATGCGGTAGTCAAGGTTCTTCTGCCCTGTTTTGGTTTCGCCCGTTGTGTTGTGACCGATTTTGACCTTGGTCACGGGCGTTTGATGTTTTTGAAAGCAAAGGAACAGTGGTAGATGGTCCTTCACTTGTTTTGCACGCTGAGCATTCCGCTCTTGAGCGGTCTGCTGGGATGCTTCAACAAAAAAACAGGCATGTTTATGGCTGCCCGCGTTTACACTTATCGGATTAAGAAGCAGGAGTAGCTGGTAAGTGGTGAATAATATCAAAAGTAATGGAGGACAGAGCACTGATTGATGCAATCCTTACCGAAGCTTGCAGCAGCTGGAGTCATCAGTGATGTGGTCATGTGTCAAAATAAAGGCTGTATGTGGCATAATGCTGAAATGTTTGGGCCTGAGTGGAGCTTGCAGAGTACTTAGTGGTAGCCAGGAGAGCCAGGCAAGGCTGATCGTCTGCCTTCTGAGTTTTTTTTAGCAATTCATCATCGGTACCGAAGACTTTGGCAAGAAAGAAATAACCATAACTGGTCATTGCCCTGACACCATGTGGGAAGGAATGAATTGCATTGGTTGTGGACTGAGATGAAGGTAGTTTTTTTGTTTTGGTGTGTGTGTGTGTGTGTGTGTGTGTGTGTGTGTGTGTGTGTGTGTGTGTGTGTGTGTGTGTGTGTGTGTGTGTGTGTGCGTGCGTGCGTGCGTGCGTGCGTGCGTGCGTGCGTGCGTGCGTGCGTGCGTGCGTGCGTGCGTGCGTGCGTGCGTGCGTGCGTGCGTGTGTGTGTTTAATCTGATCTCAATGAGAATATGGTTACCAATACTCAAACCAGAGTTGCTTTGGGGATGGTTATGCTAGTATGCTTTATTTGAATGAAATTGTAGTTTGTTCATTGTATAATCCCAATAGAGATATGCACAGGTTAAAGTTGGGGTTGCATTACAGCTAATTTGCTGTGTATTTATTTAAAATGCCAGAAAAATAATTGGGGGGCCCAACCCAACATTGGGGGGGCCAACTTCAATATTGGGGGGGCCAAGGCCCTCACAAAAGAATACAAATTGATGCCCCTGCACCCCACCCCCAACCCTTTCAAAAATTGCTGACATCTATTCCATGGCAACCAATGCAAAAATTAACTGCAAAATGAGTATGTGTGACACTTCTCTCTGAGCCATTCATCTGCCTAGGTTTCGGCACGCAACGCCAGTCCACATGTTGCCTTTCCAGCCAAGCACTTCCAATTACCTTTCGCCCCTCTGATGTGAAATCTCGAATTTCACTGCATGGCATAGCTGTTCTGCATTTATAAACTACTGCAAGGTGCTCCAAATGATTCCTGGACGCATCATTGAGCTAAGTCCACTCCGAGTTATCAATAGGGCCGACGGTAGCCATGAGCGGACTCTTTACGTTTCGGCCGCCAGCGCTATCCACCCATTTCAAACGTGTCAGTATAGTTTCGATCGGTGCAACGACTAGTGGACATTATTATAGAGCTGTAGTCTGTTAAAAGTGGCAGAAATATTCTAGCCCCGGTAGGCTTTTCACGGGCAGTACCACTACCTCCAGGGCACATAACCAGAGCGTGCGTTAAGGCCTACGCAATACCCACACGAGCCTTCGAGCGTGAAACACGGTGTGGATGCGGCTAAATGTATATGCATGAAAGATATGTTTACCTGAAAAATCAAGTCCAATGATCCCATATGACATGTGGGAAAGCGGTAGTTATCCCAACAAGCACACAATAGAACGAGAGTTACCAATAGGGTGATAGGATTAAAACACGGCTCTTTACGCATCGGCCGCCAGCATGGTCTGTCCATATCAAACGCTTGCTTGAAATAGTGTTGTTGATAGTTGCATTGGTTGAGAGTAAATTGGCACGTTTGAAATGGGTGCATAAGGTTGACGGCCGAAAGGCAAAAACTACGATTACGCCCATCAACGGCCATATTATTGACTCGAAGTGGACTCACCTAAAAGTTATTTTGTTTAGGAATAATTTCAAACACCATGCAGTCGTTTCCAAACGCAGCAAAGCAGTGTCGCGCATTGAAATTGGAGAGTTCATAGCAGACGGCTGGAAGGTAAATTGAAAAGTTGGGCTGCAAATGCAATTCAAGGTCTGGCGTTGGCACCCGAAACATAGACGGAGGAACGTCTCAGAGAGTAAGGGAGTTGATAGTCATATTGTAGTCGATTCTTCCCATCTATGTCATGACGTTGATGCTCCACATACATTCTCAGAAAATGTCTAATGGTGAGCGTGTCATAACACTCACGGAACCCGCGTTTCAAGTCTAGGAAAAGCCATTGCCGTCTAAATCGTGTCAAAATGGTGTCCGCCAAGGGTTGTGCCGATGAACATTATTTTGGAATGCTTGTCAGAGACAGATAATGCCGCTAGCCGAAAACGTTATCAGTTCATGCCTTTTTTCCGGCCCCATTCGCAATTTAGTGTGGACATGTCTGAATACGGTTTGTTCATGGATTACCTGGGCCTTCTTGCAGTAGTTTCTTGATGAAGCGTGCTGGGAAAGGTGGTCTTACACCATTATCATGTTTCCTAGTGATAAGAAACGAAGACCATAACTCGTGTCACGTAACGTCATGACCAGTAAGTAAAACGCAGCTTATTTTTTTCATTTATTTTTCAAATGGCATCAGAATGTAAACCACGAGTACGTAGATAGATGCACGTACACCGCAACAGTCTTCTGGAACGTCATGAGCAGCGGGAAAACACAGCCCGAAAAACGTGTCCCACAGAAAGTTTTCAGCTGATGACCGGGTCATTCGTCCCAGTGACGTCATCAGTGGGATAAAGGACACGTGTTATTACGAATACCTGCTTGGTTTTCAATGTTTTCATCATGAGTGGCTGGTGAATCCTTGTGACATTGTGAGAAATAAAAGAAGTTCATTTTTCACATTTCTACCAGTGACGTCATGAGGAGCACAAAACTTGTCACTGGAATGATTTACCCGACCTAGCAGCGACGTTTCGCCAGCTGATTAGCCGGTCCTCATTACAGACCAAAACCGACACTCTTCCCTCCTTCCCTCCTCTCCATTGTCGGCCGGAAGCTAAAGAACACCGATTCAGATATTCCATTGTGCACTGTTGCTGTTGCAGAGACTAGTGCTAGTGAGCTAAGCATCAAATCATAGCATTGACATCACAGATACGTTGCTGTATCAGCATATCAGCAATTTCGACAGCCTTCAGCAATTTCAACAACCTACTAAGCTTTTTGTAGATTAAATATTTATCAATACATTGAATCTGCAAAACGCTTAGAACACGAACAACCATCAGAGAAACACAGCGCACAGTATCATGACACCTCCCGCTCGACATGCGGCCTGACGCTGTATAGGCCGTCTTGGGGGGGGGGGGGGGGCGGGGGGGTCCAAAGTCTAGTATAAAATATGGCAGCAACGGCGCACATTTCACGACTAGCCATAGAGTTACCATGTTAAAATGACATTCTTCAGGCCCACGGCTTTCTAAATCTTGAGTATATATATATATACATATATGCATGAAAAGTGCATAGAAATGAAGCTTGAACAATTCTCTTCGATTTCCACGATCAAAAGTGTGCGCCGTGACACTCATTTTCGAGCTATCAGGCAAAGCGCAGACCCATGCACGCACCACGATGTGTAGGCGTGAGATCGAATCCCGCTGCCGCCAACTCTTTTCAGCAGAGTTGAGATGAAACGCGGAGTGAAAACGGCCACTGACTGGCGATAGAACTATTGAGTGCAAAAATATTCTGATTATATATTAACATATATATACATACATATATATATATATATATATATATATATATATGGTATCCATATATATGCATATTATGTATGGCCTGAAGATGCATCTGCTGTGCTGTGAAATGTGCTGCGAGCTATTACAAGGAATACACGTAAGATATTTTTGTGTCCATCAAATATACCTGGCGGGCGTCATGCAGCCGTTGGGCTATGTGCAACAGCCTATGGCTGGGGCGCACAACATTATTGTGCCTGACGTATGGAAACCTATCGCGACGGTAGCGGTCCAAAGCTGGCCGTCCAACGCACCCAGAGGTGCACTGTGTTAGGTTCTTAAGTTGTGATGCTGGCGGCCACTGCTGTGAAGGGCCGGCAATGCCGCCTCAGGACCAGTGCAGCAATGATAGCTTAGTAACACTGCAAGCACCGCTGATTGGGAAGCAGTTGTGCTTAAAAGTGGGATCGCAAGCATTACAATAAGTGCCATAATGGCGAGCTGTACTGCACAAATGCCCTGATATGACAAAGTTTATAAAACTTCTTTGGTTGATCTTGAAGAACTTAAACACCTGACAGACCTATGGCCAAAGTAATCATGCTCCCTAAAACCATTTGCACAAAGGGTTTTTGGCATGAGGTGAATACAAACATTTTATAATTGGCTCCACTCAATAAATTGACCTGAAAAATCTTGCTCTCACACCACAAAACCTGCAAAATAAATATTTGGAACTTCAATATGACATGATTTTGTTATTCCTTGTCAAGCCTTGTAATTTACAACTTTAACTTTCATCCATCGATCTAAGGGTAGGAAAGGTACACCTAAGCAGCTGAAGTGAAATGGGCAGCTTAGACAGATTTAGAAGGTTCATTAGTATCTGAAACATATGCAGCCTTGGCTCAAGGCAATAAAAACTATCAATGGACTTTAGATTACATACAGGAAATAAAATCAATAGACCCTAAAACTATGCCCCAGTTATGCACATTTTTATATAAATACAACATGCTGTCCTTTTCTGAACAGTGCAGGCAGATAACTCCTTTGGTGAAATGTCATCAGGTATGTGCGCAACATTGCATCATACCAAACATTTCTGTTACATTGCAGTGCCTTTCATGTCTCGATAAACACATCTAATGCAATCACACAGCTGTGCTTAAGTGACATAATTACTGATTGGCCCATTTCCTGGGTAGTATTGCCACTGTGGATGAAGGCTATCAATGCTTAAGTGGAATAACCAAATACCAATCAGACAACAGTTTCAATATTCATGTACTAAAAAATAACAAGACCCTCAGCTCCAGCATAAATATACCTGAGCACGCCTTGGCCGATCACCTCGCATGCAGTATTCCACAAGCACTCAACAGCCGGTAGCCTAGGCCGCAACACTCGTAACTGGCAAGTTGTGCTGTAATGAATCATTACATTATCAGCTTTGCTCCAGAATATTTAAATAATCCATTATATGTAAACTGAGACATGGTGTGACTTGGCAAAAAACAACATACATCTGATTAGCCCAGAAGCATCTGAAATTACTCGAACACAACCCGATCCTCCAACCACCACCCCCAATACCGCACCACAATTCAAGTGTTTTGCGGGTTTCGCGACTGAGAAATGTGATTACACTTAATCGCCACAAACCAAAGATGCCGGTAGCACAGCACTGCCAACTTTTGGTACAACATCCCAAATCTGGTGATAATCCCGATTCTGATATAGTTACAGTATGTGTCGATACCTACTAGTCAAAACTTTGGAGTACCCAGTGTCGTGTTGCCCTGATAGACTGTTCTCCACGTGAGCCCACACATTACCATTGCGTACAATTTAGTGCCGTTTTTGGAGCAGCTGCGGTGAGTTGACTTACATGAAAAAGTTTTTAAATATTTAACAGCAGGGGCCCCCTTTATAAAAAAAATATTGCACATGTACACGAGCACGTCATTACCAGCTCATTACACCGATCATATGCAACCAGTGGAGTCAACGCACATATTCCTTCGCACTTCTAGCCAAATGCCACCAATTCGCCTCTTGACACCCGACCAAAGTAACGCTGCCGATTCGTGCTTTGCTCCCCCTGACGAACGCACGGATACTGCCTGGCACTGCGACCGGTAGCATTATTTTTAGTGCAACGTGGTGCATGCTGATGGGCTGACTTACCAGGAGATCCGCTCACCGAGTCTGGGCTTAAAACTCCATTGCTATCTTACAACCGAGCTCGCTGCATGTCACACCAAAGCGCGTGGTCCAGCCAGTGTCGAGAACAGACGGCACTTTAAATCTACCACCAAATGTATTCTCAGTATACTTTGACGCAATAACGCCAATATTTCAGAGAATATTCTGCGGCCTGTACCGATGCACGGCCCACACAATCTAACAAAGAGTCATTTGCAAACTACCACTACTGAGAAACATGCACATTACATGAACATGGAGTGTTGAAAAAACAGGACTATCTGACTGGTAAACAACAGCAGCAACCACACATCCACACCCCACAAACGGACAGCCTGCCAAAATCATGGATGAAACGCGAAGTTGATCCAGTCGACCTTCAGCCCAACGCGCAGCTCACAGCACCGCGTTGTGTGCTTGCACCTTATGGGTGCGCACCTCAGGCCGTCTCCTAGCGCATCTCAGCACATCAGCAGGAGATCAGTGTCCACCAGGGTGCAGCACCATAGAAGAAGCAGGATCCACATTCTCCATCCTTGGCAGTTTCGTGGCTTCACCGCCCGACTGCAGCTGGCAGTCTTCCACCTGCCACCATTGGGTGCTGGTTGGCCCACACTCGGTCCTCCGAGATAACGCGGCCACGGACTGCACACCGCCGAGACCCACCCGCTCGGCGGCAGAGCGCCACGCCAGCAGCCCCAGGGAGGCCGAGGCGGCGCTGGCAGCCGCAGAGGCCGCCCCAGCAGCGCCAGTTCCAAAGGGCGGGCATGCTCCACATCTGGGGCGAGCCCCACGAGCCCGGCTTCAGCAGCTCGAGCTGAGGTAAGCCCCCAGAGCCATCCCTTAGTGTGTAGATGCCATACACCCATTCCTGGATATCCCTCAACGGCTCAAGGCGCAGCCCAGCGACAGGCCCTGGACACCAGCTCCAGCGCCTGGCCTGGACGCCGGCTCCAGCGCCCGACCCTGGACGCCGGCTTCAGCGCCCGGTTCTGTACGCCGGCTCCAGCGCCCGCTCACTGGGCGGGCGGCGCGGCCGGCTGTCCGCCCGAGTGGAACTCGAGCATGCAGAGGTGGCAGCTCCAGGAGCCCTCTGGCGGCGCCGTCAGCGGCGGCGACAGGCAGTACATGTGGTAGCCGCGGTCGCAGTCGTCGCAGAACAGCAGCTGGTCCTGCCGGGGAGAGCGAGCGCCATTGTCACAGGAGCGTGGCATAAAAAATAAAAACACGCGGATCTGCGGGCCACATCACAAACATCCATTCGCACCGGAAGCAATGGTCACAGAGCATCAAGTCCGAACAGCAAGAGTACGTAACAATCATTAACTTCCATTCCAGACCGTCCACGTCATGGGCAAGGATGCACCATAAAGCCGTTGGCCTGCATCCGGCAACAAATGGAAAATACTCTCCCGGCGACGGTCCTTCTGTCCGAGCCGCATCCACCCGCGGTGCACTCACGTCGTTGTCGGAGGTACCGCAGAGGGAGCAACACTTGCACTCGATGCACTGCCAGCGGTACTTCTTCACCGAGATCACCATGTTGTCGGTGAACTGCAGGCAGGACGGGTGGCCTGGAGAGAGCGCGGCTCGGTGTCAGATCCCATCCGTGGACGAGCCGGGAGTGGAGACAGCCATCAGTGGCGCCTGAGCCCAGCGGCCGTCGAAGACAAACTGGGGGTTCGTATGACCATCTCCACCACATCCACAGCGGTGCACTACCCCCTGGTGAGCTCGACACAGCACGTGGTCAGCGCGGAGGCGCGCCGCCGCTGAGCGCATCCGCCATGCGCAGAGGCGCGCCGCCGCTGAGCGCGTCCGCCAAGCGCGGAGGCGCGCCGCCACTGAGCGCGTCCGCCAAGCGCGGAGGCGCGCCGCCACTGAGCGCGTTCGCCAAGCGCGGTGGAGAGCGGCGCCCGTTAGACCAGAGAGCCCGCGCCGCGCAGGAGGCCCCGTCGGGAGGAGGTCCCATCGGCGGAAGTCCCGTCAGCAGGGGTCACGTCCGCGGGGGTTCTGCTGGCAGGGGGTTGCGTCGGCATAAAGTCCCATCGGCGTGAGTCCAGTCGGCAGGGGTCACGTCGGCAAGAGGGTCCGCGGGGGTGCTGATGGCAGGGGTCCGTCGGCAAGGAGCTGGGGGCCATGCTAAGACCGGCAGCCAGAAGTGCCTCCGTCGGGACCGCGAGGCTCGGCTAGCGCTGCCACTGACCTGACCGTCCGCAGTCGGAGCACGAGACGAGCTCCTCGGGCGCGCCGCTTTTCTTGTTGAGCGTGGCGTCGCCCAAACAGAAGTCACAGTACAGCGACGGAGTCGAGCGCTTCTTTTCCGGCGGCTGGCGCGGACAACAGACCGTCAGGCCGGACAGGGGAGGGGAGGGGAGGGGAAGAGCAGCCCAGGTTGGGCTCCATGGTGGTGAGGACCGGAGATTGGTAGCAAAGTTTTATAAAGAAAGCCGTAGCGTTGTACAATACGGCGAAACCAGCCATCGAAGATGTCATGCATTTACACGAACCTTCATCGACTTTCTGGCAAGCTTCAGTGATTAACTGGCCATTTGTGAGAATGTGATTTGCAGCCCTGAGGTTAGCGTGGTCTTTTTTAACTCGTGGATCAGGTCGCAAACTAATCGGCATGCCGTTCTGACCACGAAATTTAGACGCAAAAAATCGCACTAAAACTATTGCCTGGAGCGCTCACATTATCACGCACCAATCGGGACAGAAAAGGATGGTTCTTAAGTACAGTTTCAGAAATCCTTAATTAGATATGATCGGATTGGCGTCGCGAGCCAACAGCAGGGACTCGGCAGAAGTACACATAGTGACTGTACGGCACACACATACCTGCAATATTAGATAAGACTAAGTGACCATAGCGGCGAGACTCCCGCGGTAATAAACATGACCATAGCGGCGTTGGCAAGCTTCAACTGCAGAAGTGGTAGGGAAACCCAATAATGCAAAACGTCCCATCACTGTTGCAAAGCTAATTTGAAAAAGCCCAGATCGTAATGCCGCTACTGTCCCGCTACCGCTTGACTACAAGACCTTGGCATCTGCCCAGCGATCAGCTCACAGAGTCCAGAAACGTGTGCGCACTCACGGGTTGTCCTCCCACAGCGGTGGCGGCGGGCGCCAGCTCTGGCTTCTGCAAGAGACAGCCAGCTGGTACAGCAACACCGCCGCACCGCACCGCGCGCGCGTCCGGTTCACACCGGGACCGCGCCGGGACCACACAGGGACCACATCGGGCCCACGCCCACACGGCACACAAGAGCTCGGCACCACAGGCCCCCTAGGTCCCGGCTGAGGCCTCACCTCGGGCTGAGGCCTCACCTCGGCGGCCGGCGGGGCGGCCTTGACCGGCGGTGCCAGCGGCGGCGGCGGCGGCGCCTTGGCGAACTTGTCCATGTCGGCCTGGGCGGCGAGGGCGGCGCTGGCGGCGGCCGCGGCCTGGCGGGAGGCGCGGCCGCGCGAACCTGCGCGGGGAGACGCAGTCAGTGGAACCGGCGGAACCCACCGGGAGGACCGGGATACCCGCCGGCAGCAGACAGAGATCTGCCGCAATACAGAGTGCACGCTGGAAAGGGGACAGCAAACCGTGGATAGAAATGAGAAGGTAGAATACAAGACAACAGAAAGCCAGGAAAGGAGAACAAACTTCAAAAGAAGAAAAACAATAGAATGGGGCAAGCCCATGAAAGAAATGCAGAACAGCAGGAGAAGAAATAAAAGTAAAAGAGGCACATAAATCCACAAGAGAGCAGAACGAGGGACGACTAAGACACATCAGCCGAATGTGGCGATGTCGTGCCGAAAGCACCGACTGGAACCACGAGATGGGTGCTTGCCTGGTTTGTCCTTCCCTCTGGGCTTTTCTGGCAGGCATGAAAAGACGACAGTAAGCAGTCTTCAATGGTGGAAGAACGCGGTACATATGCAGTGACGGTGGCACATGACAACGATATTAGCTGACACGCACGAGGTACGAGATCACCACACAAAAATGGCGAACGATCGGTAGCTAGAGATCTTCATCTAGCCGGTTATGGAGAGCCTATCGAACTCTCCCTGCCACCTCACTGTCGCCTCTACGCTACAGTCATGCGAACCTTACGCGTCTGGTCCTAGCTCCGCACCAGACGGGCGCGCCATCCTCCGCCGACTACCACGCTAACGCCAGCGCCATCTCTGGACCGCTCCGGTCCCTAGCCAGCTAACAAACCAAACGGCACGCCGGGCGTCTCGCGCGCCTCCGCCGACGGCGGACGGCGGCGCCGAGCGCTGCCGCCGGCCCGAGCGGCGGCCCGGCACCGGCCGCCCGGGGCACCGCTGAAACAAACCAAACTCCTCCCGGCGGCGTCAGGCACGCAAACGAACGGCGCCCAAGCCAAGCGAAGCGAGCCAGCGCCAGCCAGCAGCAGCAGGCGAAGCGGTAAGCGGCAAGCGCGGGCGGCGCCCGGTCAGTTGCGGGCGGGCGGGCGGGGGCGGGGCGGGGTCGGCGCGTGCAGCCAACCTGGGGCGGCCAGCGGCTCGTCGGCGACGTCGGCGGCAGCGTCCTGGTCAGGCGCTGACGGCGGCGGCTCGTAGCCGGGCTCGGCGCGCTGCTCTTGGCGTCGTTCCTCCTTGTGCGAATGCGCATAGTGGTAGGTGAGCCCCGGCCGCGTCTTATAGCGAGCCGCGCACACTGAAACACACGCACGCGCGGCCGCCGCGCCAAGCTTAGCTTCACCGCGCGACCGCGGGGCAGCGCTGCCGACACGGACGGCGGCCGTCCCCGCCACCTGTTCGGCGGGGACCGGAGTGGAGGGGGAGGATGGCCACACAGCAGAGCGGGCCCGGCACGGGGCGGCGCGGCGCTCTCCAGCGTCCCGCGCGGCTCCGACGCATGTCATTCACCCATGGACGCCGCACAAAGCGGCCGGCCAGCCTGGCGGCCCTCGGCGGCCATGGAGCCGCGGAGCTCGGTTCGGCGGCGACCGCACCGCTCGGAGCCAGTCGTCGTGCGTGTCTGGCACTCGACGCCGACCGTCGCACCTGCCGCGGCGCAGCTCTCGACGGCCGCCGCGGCCCGCTCTGCCGGCGGCGCGCGGCACCGGCAAACACGGCAGACAGACCTCCACCCGGCGGACAGCGAGCGGCGGTGTTAGCGTCGCATGAGTGCGGCGGTGAGCAGACACGCACACACGCACACACACACACACACACACACATACGCACGCACACACACACGCACACACACGCACAGAGCATTCAGACGGTGCGGGCGCGTGCCGAGATTAGTAGCGCTGCCGGTCGGCGGCGGCGGCGGCGGCGGCGGCGGCGGCGGCGGCAGCGGCGGCGGCGGCGGCGGCGGCGGCGGCGGCGGCGGCGGCGGCGGCGGCGGCGACGGCGGCGGCGGCGGCCAAGCCCCAGCGCGTCGAGCCAGCCCCGGCGGCCACGCGGCCGTGTACTCACGCTCGCACGCCCACGGCTTCTTGGCCTCCTCGTCCGGGTCGGCGGCACGTCGCCGGCTGCTACTGCTCCGGCCCTGGGAGCGGCGCACAGCGGGCGGCGTCGGCAACATCGTCGGCCATGCTCTCACAAGCCGGGGTGCCCCACTTTACATGGCACCGGCACCAAAACCTTGCTGGACCGATGGTGTCGCTAGACCACCCTAACACCTGCAGAATATCCTCACCGTGCACAGAGCGGAGTGCAGGCATGCGCATGGAAACGCACGCGCAGCCCCAATGTCGCAGTGGACACTTACGACCAGTACCTATCATGTTATTATCTCTAAATCCTTTCGCCTCGCGTAAAAAAGAAAAATGGAGCATCCGCACTCTGCAGAGGGTGATGATACTTACTGAAGAGCGCTTTTGAGATGATGCAGACTTCTTCTTCTTACGATAACGATCGTCAAAGTCATAGTCGGACGCGTCCGAGTTCTCCTCGAAGTCATCCCGGTCAATCTCGGCGTCCTCGAAATACCACCCATCCTGAAGAAGCAGAACAGCATGTTGATAGCCTTCACCAAATGTTTGGCTACAGATCGACAATTTTAATATCGATACTCATAACACCCCGCACACACAATACCCTGGACAACGTAGCTGGCACCGCACCAACACTAGTCAGCCTCACACCCGCAGGTAATACCACCACCCAGGCTGCACCAGGCCCACCTCTCTTCACCGACGCACCAGCGCGACGGAACCGCCGCAGCCATCATCACCTTGGAGCCATCGTTGAGGCTGGCGCTGCTGTCCTCGTTGAAGGTGGGGTTCTGAACAGCTGCGATGGCCAGCTCGCACTCCTCCAGGCCGAACTTCTTGGGCTGCATGAAAAAGTTGAGATACTGGCGGCGGCGCTTGATCCAGCGCTTGGCCGGGTACGTGTACACCTGGCCTGGCTTCACGCCGGGCATTCGGTGCCGCTGCTGCATCCAGAGTCGGCAGTCGCTCTGGGCCAGGCCTGTGCAGGACGGACACGCTGTCATACCTGGCACTGGCCCCAACTGGTCGGCAGTTGATACAAGACTGGGATGCAGCAGACATTGGAATGTGCTTAGGTGACACCATGTCTGTCTTGACAGCAGACTGTTGCGCGTAACAGCTGTTTTTAGGACAGGATGTTTTCTTGATTTGGCAAAGAACTATTTCATATGCAAGTAACCACCTTTTTCTCACACAATAACACAAAAAATTCAAACAGATTTGCAATTACAAATATCCTTGCACATACAATGACAGGAAAATACGGCATCAAACTCAACAGTTAGAACGAGGAATGCCAATAATGTCATGTTCTGCTCGCTCTCTGAACAAATCTATTGAAATGGAAGGAGTGTTTGGACTATTAACATGTCACCATTAATATGTTTCTTCAAAAACTTTTTAGAAAAATGACAAACTGTATAGTTAAGCCTAGTCCATGCATGCAGTGTGCCTAGAAATTAAAGTCGTTTGGAAAGGGAGAACAGGAAATGTTTAGTTTTCACCTTACCAGTATGTGCATCAATAAATGGTACGCGCCCTTTCCTTTCCACCAGAAGCCTTTTGTTAAAGTTCTTGCAGCTCTCCATCATTTCCATGTATTGAGGTGAGGCAAGAATGCTGAAAACACAATGTCAAGTCAAAGTAGTACAGGTTATCATAACATTGTAAAGCGAGCTGATCTCACTTAATTGCACTGCCTTTGAGATATTCTTCACTTGATCTGGATCCGCGTCAACTGCTGTCGACGCGGATCCAGATGGGGTCACGGGACCATGCCCTTCTCTCCCTCCCCTCTCTTGGACCCTGAGGGGGTCCGTAGCCGGCTGACACATACAACGAAATTGAGCGTCCTTGGGCTTGCGGGCAATTAACAACAGTCGCCAGCAAAGGTAAAGGGCTCACGAACAGACAAGAATAATTCTTCACCGATTGAGAGGGTGGTGGTAAGTACATTTTAAGGCTCACTATGCTCCCCAGAGGCCCTCCGCTACTTCGGGGGTCCTATATGCCCACTTGCATAGAGGGCCTCGCGCTGTTGCCAAGGTCGTTCCTGCTAGTGTGCCCGGGTACTCTTGTTAATCAAGAGCTTTCCACGGATTCTTCCCATTCACCCGAAAGGCTCTACACGCTACAGCCAGGGGCCACACACGATAAACTGCCGGGGCATTCTCTATTGCTCAGGAACCTTTCCCGTTGGTCTCGATTAGCATACCGACACACTCGCGATGTGCTCATGGGTCCTCCACATTGGTCCAGGGCCCTTCCAATTCCCTGTCAAATCCTTAGGGTAATTCCCTAATCCCTTCTGTCGTGAGTCATCTGTTTACCTGTTTGGACACACTCGGTCGCTCGGAGCCATCCAAATTAGGTCTTGTTTACTTCCATTTGAATGGAGGGCCCTACGCATACGCATGTCGGGGGCCCATATATTCTCCTCCTCCGGCACCCTGGATTATCTGGAGGCCCTGCACATGGGGTTTTGCTATTTTAGTGGAGAGCCCTACGCCGTTATCGGGGGCTTTGTCTGTTAGCCTATTTGGGTGTACCTGATCGTTCAGAGGCCCTCACACTGCTTCGTGGGTATCTCTTATTTGAATGCTGGTCACAACGCTTTTACCGGGGGCTTCCATCTGTTACCCAGCTCGGGCCCACTCGACCTTTCCTGCGCCCTCCATATTGTGCCTTGGGTACTTCTCATTTAGATAGATGACACCATGTTCTTGTTAGGACCCATCTATTAAGCTGCTCGGGCCAGTGGCGGATCCAGGGGGAGGGGGAGGGGGGGCACTAGGCCACCCTCCCTGTGCCCCGAAGGAACCCATAGGCTCTTTAGTAGCCCACAGCCGGCCGCGCGGCGCGCTTTTCTAACACAAAACACACCAATGTTGGACGTCTTTGGGCCTTCAGACGACCAAGAACCGGCAAGCAAAAATAGAGACCCCACGAGCAAACAAAGCTAATGTTCTGGTGACTGAAAGTGGTTTACAGGGAACTTTTGAGGCTCATTGAGGTGTCCAGAGGCCTTACGCTGTTGCAGGGGCCCAATGTCAACTTGTCGGGTCAGTACCATCGCTAAGGAGCCTTCCACGTTACTCTTAATTTCTCTCCAGTCTCTCCAGGGACCCTACCCTGGCAATGGAGCACTATCTGCTAATAAGTCTGGCGTTCTTGATCGATCAGGGGCCCTTCACGGATTTTCCCCATTCAGCTGAAAGGCTCCATACCCTTTAACCAGGCCCCCATGTGCCGAGGCACCCTCAGTTGTTCTGGGGTACTCCATATTGGTCTCAGATTATTCCCACTTGCTTGGAAGGCCTTGTGCTGTTGCTGGGGCTCATGTAGGCAAGGTGCTAAGCTACTCAATGCTCAGGGGCCCTCCACATTGATCTAAGGTTCCTTGCCTTTGATCTCATTTGCAGAGGATAGTTCACTCCTATCAGGGCCTTTTCTGTTCACCTGACCAGGCCTTTTGATCACACATGGACATTAATTCTCATACACTGGTCTTGGGTAATTTCCCTTTGCTCAGAGGGCCCTGTGCTCTGGCCAGAGGGCCCTCTGACCTATGTCAGCCTGCTGGGGCACTGCTGATTGTTCAGGGACCCACCATGTTGATATTGGGCTTTTTGCTTGCTCTGAGGACCTTATACTTGTCGACAGAAGCCCTGTTGATGGCCCTCTGCAGCAACACTGATCACACAGGTTCTATCTCTTTGGTCTGGGTGCCTTAGCCTTAGAGCATCACTTGGATGTGAGCTGATGGATTTTCATGTACAAGTGTCAAACATAAAACAATGTGTCCACAACATTGCATGTGCTTTTTCCCTTGGGAAGGGACTTTGTGACATCTATGACACTTGCACGTCATGTTCTCAACACATTATGAATGCTGGGATATTTTGTACTCCTGCATAAAAGAGCAAAAACTTTGCATCTGTTAAGAGCCATCAGCTGATCACACAAACCAACCACCTAGCCAAGAATAATCCAGGAATCAAGTTTATGCTTGATTTTGATGGTATTGAGCAGCCAACTTTACTTTATTTTGCCATGTTTTCTGAAATGCTTAGCTTTTAAATGGTGATATTCACCATGATCTGGAGAAAGTGAACAAGCTACATATATGCACCTATATACCATACCTATTTTCTATGCCTACAAACACTAAGATGGGTTTCAACATAAAAAACATGCTAAATAGCTTAGAACTGAATGCCTGGAATGCAAGAATTGCTTAGAGGGAGAGGGAGAGGGAGAGGGAGAGGGAGAGGGAGAGGGAGAGGGAGAGGGAGAGGGAGAGGGAGAGGGAGAGGGAGAGGGAGAGGGAGCGGGAGCGGGAGCAGGAGCGGCAGCGGGAGCGGGAGAGAGAGAGAGAGAATATATATATATATATATATATATATATATATATATATATATATATATATATATATATATATATATATATATATATATATATATACAAGTAAATAATTATGGAACAGATAAAACCTCAACATGAAAAATCAACAGCTGAGCCATAGCCCAAGCTGCTTCATATGTTTTTCAAGCAGGCAATGGAATGAGTTGAGCAGCCTGGCCACAATATATAGCTCTTAGTGTGAACTAAAGACCACTTCCTTAATGTCAAACTGGCACAACATGCCTCAAACACCTAACCTTTTGCATAATATGAGAGACCCTCTAAGATCTGACAGGAAAACTGCTACAAAGACTAGATGAAAACAGTAATATGTATCTGTGGCCTTAAGGCACATAAACTCCATTGGTTTATGGATATAAACTTATGCTGTTAACCATACATTTTTGCTAGCAGAAAAAAACTGCTAGTTGGAGCACACATGCACACTGCTAACAGAGCTACAGGTCAGGGTGTACTTTCCTACCTAACATTAGAACAAATCATTGTACACAATTTGTTGTGTTTAAGGCAAGACATGTCATAAATAATCACAAAACAGGTAGGTTCATGCTCTGACCTTCAAATTTTTTTATAATTACGATGGCAAGCTCTCGAGCACTGCGCACATACACAGCAGCCATGACACAGGCGCCATTACTGCACCCGGTCACAACATTACTGCGCATCAAGCAGCATCAAGTACCATAAAAATGTAGGGGGCAAAGGTAACAAGAATCCGTGAAATTTGATCCTCAATGCCGATGCCAATGGGACGATGGGTTGCAGGGGGATTGGTGGGGAATGTAAAGTAAAATGAGGGCATGGTGGCTAAATAAAAGCTCACTATATGGTGCCAATATGGCATGGAACATGAATGCCAATGGGATGCTGGGTTGAAGGGGATATAGGGTGGGGAGGTTAGGTTAGGTTAGGTTAGGTTAGGTTAGGTTAGGTAAGGTTAGTTTGGTTAGTTAGGTTAGGTTAGGTTAGGTTAGCTTAGCTTAGCTTAGGTTCTGGTCTTCTTGGTTAGGTTAGGTTAGGTTAGGTTAGGTTAGGTTAGGTTAGGTTAGGTTAGGTTAGGTTAGGTTAGGTTGGGTTAGGTTAACTTAGGTTCTGGTCTATTCTTGGTTAGGTTGGGTTAGGTTAGGTTAGCTCAGCTTAGGTTCTGGTCTGTTCTTGGTTAGGTTAGGTTAAGTTAGGTTAGGTTAGGTTAGGTTAGTTTAGGCTACGTTCTGGACTATTCTGGCCTGTGCATTGCATAAACGTGCCTAAACGTGATAAGAAACAAATTTAATTGCATTATTATTGTTACCTTTGTCCTGTACATTTTTTATAATTCTTGGTAAGCAGAAATATTGTAATTACGCAACGGCAACGCAGAAACGGCGTTGGGGAGTCCAGGCGGTGCGGTGCTTGCAGCGCTCGGGAGCTCGCCATCGAAGTTATCAGAATTCGAAGGTAGGAGGATGATTCTACCTGTTTTGAGATTATTTACGATATGTTCTGCCTTAAACACGACGAATGGCGTACAGTGATTTTTTCTAACGTTAAGTTAGGAAAGTACACCTACACCGAGCTACAAGACCAACCTTTCTAATTGTTCCAACGCATTCGCATTTGCAGGCCCGAACGCCGCCGCCGGGGGTTCCACAGCTTGCGCTTCGCAGCCCATAGTTGACATATTTGCTCGGCTATGAAAACAATGTTCAAAACCAAATCCAGAAATAAGTGCCCAAGTTCTGTAGACTCCACACGTTTGCGACGCGCTAAACGTCGTATTGTCTCGCTTCACCCACCAACCGCCCGCCCCGACAGATCTACTGGAACGCGCCCGAACGGAAGCGCAAAACAAAGCGCCTAACAAAATTTACCAGATCTAGTGAAATGCTACGAAGTGAAGACTTTCTGTCACTTCTTGGTGACCAAAAAAGGAACATGGCTACAAATACGAATTGCATCAAAGCATATGGCATTGGGCAGCGACTAAATGAAACCTTGGCTAATGGAGATGAGGCTAGATGTGTCATACTTGGTCGAATATGAGAGAGAGAGAGAGAGAGAGAGAGAGAGAGAGAGAGAGAGAGAGAGAGAGAGAGAGAGAGAGAGAGAGAGAGAGAGAGAGAGAGAGAGAGAGAGAGAGAGAGAGAGAGAGAGAGAGAGAGAGAGAGAGAGAGAGAGAGAGAGAGAGAGAGAGAGAGAGAGAGGCCTGCAAGCAGCCAAAAATTGGGGGAATTAGATGCCTTGAGTGTAGATATTATTCTTGTGCTCCAGAATCCAGTGATTGCCAGCAGCCCAATGTCGATATTCCGCGGCGCGGGTGTTTGTCCCTTAGCCCTGTCATCCCTTATTTGTATATGCGCACAATCTCAAGCCGTTAATTGTAAAGAAGGGACGATGTTCCCAGTTGATGTGTGACCAGAGAAAAATTGCTGCCTTCACAGTCCGCCTTAAGATTGGATGTAACGCTATTTTGGTGGCTTGAGAATATGCAGGACTTTGAAGTCGCCAGCTATGTTAAATGACAGCAGCATTGTTCTGGAAATAATACTGTGCTCATGAAATAATGTCCCAAAATGCAGGGTTGAAAGTCGGCTGACGGCGCGCCCCGTCCATGCATGTGCTTCCATTAGAAAAAGCACATTTGCAGCACCTGATAATGCAATGCAAGAAAATAAGGCTTTTTTCTTCTGCATTATTGAAGGATACTATAATATTGTTGCGATGTTGGTTACGTAAAAACGTGATTTGCTTTAACTGATCGTAAAACCACCATAGTTCACCGTTGTAGCGTGGAACTATATATCGATTCGGCTCTCATTTTTGTTGATGAGTGCGCGCAGTCTGGCTCTCGGAAGCATCAAGAAGCATATTCCGTGATCAATGCCGCAACTCTTGCAGTGCTTGCACGTATTTGCAGCTGAAATAAATGCCTTAGACCTCATCCCTTTCCAGCAGAGAAGCCCTGCAGCCTATCGTTCACAATTATGATTCAATAGATGGCGCTGAAACGACGATGGCGGTTGAGGCGTTATTGGTACTTCGTTTGTACGCCTGGGCCCAAGAGGCTATGCGCCCTAAACCAACAGCAACTGGGTTTGCGCGCCGCGTGTGATTATATTCCCAAACTAGGGAAGTTTCATGTCTGTGAGGCCAGTATAGTAGAGTAGGTTGTTGCCACACGCAAGGCCTTGCAGTTACCCAGGTTTTATTGTTTTATTGGTATCCGACTCGTCCTGAACTGACGAGGGCGGCGTACTCAGAAGAATACGTGCAAGCGTACACAGTTTGTGCGTGTAGGTACGCCAGAGTTGGTTGTAGACTAGTAGTGTTGTCAATGCTAGGGTGGGCTGGAGAGTGGTGGCTGTGCTCAGGGAGCTGTGTGGAACATTCATTGGATGTTGATACCATGACCAAAGAACTCACTGATGTCTGTCCTTTAGGTGGAGATGGAATGATGATTGTTTGAGAAACACTTTAATTGGTATTAACACTGGATGCACATTTCACATTATATTTCACACATTTCTCATTTGCTGTTGAGTTGTATGACATGCTGTATGACATTGTTGCAGATTTTTTGTTTGAGAATGGCAGCTGTTCCCCAGAAATTCTGCTTGAAGTGGAATGACTTCCAGAGTATTGTCATTTCTATGTTTGACAATCTGCGCCATGATGAAGAGTTGGTAGATGTCACTCTTTGCTGCGATGGCAAGAAGATCAAGGCCCACAGAATGGTTCTGTCTGCATGTAGTACATACTTCAAAGAGGTGTTGAAGGTATTTTTGAAATGTTTTTTGGTGAAATTTTGTCTGGTGGTTTTCATAAGGAAGGTATGGTAAAATAACATGAAACATCCATGTGATTGTGGTTGTTGCTTGCCTTTAATTTCTTGGGGATATGCTTCATGCATATATAACTATGGGTAAACAATGAAGACTGTAACCCATATTTGAAAAGTAGAGATGACCAGGACTTTCTCTTGACCCCACTAGTGTGCTTAGCATTGGGGCTGACACATTATTAGGGTCTATCTCAATACTTAATTGTCCATGGCACTCAGAAATACAAAGCTCACCCCTCAATTATAACATGTGTGGTGTTCACCTTATATATGCTGATCATGTTTTATTTTGCATTAGCTAAATGCTGATTTACCTGCCCCTCTTTTCCAGGAAAATCCTTGTCATCACCCAGTTTTCTTCATGAGAGACATTCCTTATGCAGATCTGTCATCTCTTATTGAGTTCATATACACAGGGGAGGTAAATGTTAGTCAGACTGATCTATCAAGCTTCTTGAAGACTGCAGAAATGCTGAAAGTCAAAGGACTCACAGATAATGACAAGGTAATTAGGGCCACATATATGATTGCCACAAGGGGAACAAGAATGTGATAGGCATGGTTGCCCTTGAGCACATGTGCAATATGGCTAAGTTGTGTTAAAGCAGGTGCTAATTACAAAAACATCAAACATAGCATATTTCCTCAGTAGTCTACCTTGAATGTGCTACATGATTTACTTGCATGCGATGTAGTATGATTTGTCAAGATTGGTAATGTTGGCTGGTCTGTTAGTGATTCCAATCTGGATGTAATTTGTGCAATGAATCATATTTGTGCTTTGAGTTATTGTGTGATGAAATAACTCATAGACTGAACTTGTTGAATGATCAAAGCCTTGACAGTGAACAAAAGGTATTAAACTGAACCAAAGGTATACAACTAACACCACATTTTCCACTTTCCAAATGCCCTGTTTACATCACCTGTGTGGTGTTTCAGACCACGGACGTGCCCCCCTGCAGCGCGCCTCCGCCCCAAGCACAGGCCGGGTCACGGCCCTCCGGGCAGCCAGCTGTTGCCGACCGAAGGTCAGCGGCCGGCGGCCAGGGCCGAGAAGCGACCTGTCCCGGCCGGCGCGCCGGCGGTGTCCGCATTCCGGTCGGATCCGCAGGCGCCCGCGTCCAAGCGGAGTCGCGCCGACCGGCCACCCTCCCCGACCGGCCCGCTGGCGGCGTCCGAGTCGCCTGGCCAGCTTCCCGGCGGACAGGCGCTTGCCGAGCTGGCCGAGTCGTTCCCGGCGGCGCCGTCCGCCGACCCGGTGGTGCAGGTGGCACGGTATGAGACGAGCCTGGTCAAGACGGAAGCTGTCGCGTTTGAAGACGGCGGGGATTTTGAGGCCTCGTTGGAGCGAGAGGGCGCTTACGACGACGCCTCTCTCGACCACAGCCTGCTGGAGTTCAAAGCGGTCGCCGACCGGGATCAGCTGACCACATCCCAGGGGAATTCAGGTGCGGCTACCCGGAGTTTTTTTTTACGTGGCCTAGCACTGTAGGGGAAGCCTGAATAGTTGGCTTTGATAGGGTCCAAACAGGTCAGCGTGAGCGGAATATGGGTGAAAACAACTCCTGTGTCAGGCTTTCTCCAGAATTTAATGTGGAGATACCGCCGTTGTATTGTGTTTCGGATCCCCATTGTCGCCTCAGCTGTTGCTATTGTTAACCCTCATCCTGACTCCCCGTTTTGCATACCGCGCACTGATGGGGGGGGGGGGGAGGGGGGCTGACACGACCCCCCTGCCGTTCACAAACTTAGAAAACGCTGAGCGGGAAAACACCAGTGGTCTCAACGAAAAGTCGCGATTGGTAATAAGCTGCATGCTTCGAAGTCAGAATGGATCCCCTAATGCCACATCAAAGGTAAACTTTTTCCAAATTTCGAACTTTTTTGCATCTTTACATGCTTACATATCTGAGACCATGTCTGTTAGCGACATGAAACTTACACGGGTGTGTCCCTTGTTGAATTTTAAGGATAATGCTGTATAGATTGATGTATGTCGACCATATGTTCACAATATATCGCTCCGTTAATGAAGCCACGTCGGCCCGCCAAGCGCGTTCCGTGGCATCGTCGGTTGCCGCCCGGTGATCGCCGTACAGTGTTCCTCAAAAGCTACCGCTGCTCCGAAACCAAAACTGCTGGAGACATGTTTATGGCGCCAGAACACGCGCGATGACTGCTCAAAGTAAAAATTTCGGTGCGATTTTGCGACGTGCTGAAGAAGCATTTTCAAAAAAAGTACGGGCTCGCATCGACCCCCTCCCCGCCCCATGAAGGCGAGGGTTAATGACGTATGTATGACAGTTATGGGTGGAGTTCCATACGCGACCATTTTTAAGTTTGCGTGCGTCTTTCGTTCACAGAATCGTTAAGCGGGATGTTCTTCGGAGAGGACCCCGCCGGAGGTATGTTTTCGCGCATATACCGTCATTCAGGGTGACTTTAGCACATTTCTGGATATTTTTATGCCTCCTTCTTTTGTTGGGGTCAGTGCGTTTAAGTTATTGGTTTGAAAACTAGTGGAGATATGTGTTCTTTTGCTTGGTATGTGCAGGTTGTTGGCTCTGCTTGTTGAATGTTTATTTTTTATAATAAACAAATATGTGGTGGCTAAAGTTAACTGGATCCCAACTAACTTTAGCCGCCCAGAGTCACTTATCAGGATTAATGAAAAATTTTGGGCAGCAGCTCAAGATAGGTCACATCTGTTTAACTTTATCTAGTCAAAAAGCTTTAAAAAATCATGACCAACATCAGGAATCAATCTGCTGTGTATTATTCGTGACATTGAGACTTAATGTCACAAGCTGCCACAAATGTTCTACCAGAAACCTGAATCAGTTAACTTGAAACTGAACATGTAACTTTTTAAACTTCAAGTACCTGATATAATTACTGTCTGTCTCAGCCACATGTAGCAATAACCGTCTCACACGATCTTGTCAAGTGACCATCCAAGAGAGCTGTTTTCCTCATAGACACACCACTGTTCACATCTTCAATTGCTTTCCTAATGGCCTTGTCAGTATAGTTTCTACAGGGTTGAGGATGAGGCGTGGTGCAAATCAGGACACCTTATGGGCTAGGCTTTGACCTGGAACAGAAACACATGGATGATGAAAGGTCATGACACTTAAAAAACATAGGAAATTATGTAGAGCATTATGTAGAGTTTCACTTGTGTATCCACTGTTAAATGACAGTCGCAGTAAAAGTCGCAGCTCCAGTAAAAAGGAACTAATAAATCATGTAATAATGAGTGGACAATGACAGCAGAGGCTTAAAAGGTTGTGCAGAAATGCTTATTTTTGCTGTGTTAGCTCTTCCTACTTGTCTAGGGGTGCCATTAAATTCACCTCATTTCCGAGGAAATTTGAAGGGAGTGTTTGAATCCGCAAAATGATTATTTCTGATTGGCAAAATTTCTGCTGTTCAGCTAGAAATTAGTCTGATAAGAATGCAACTCACGCTGGTTAAGTTTATAATCCCCACTTTGAAACACAACATGCACATGATGGATCTAAAGTCTGAACCGCAGTTTGGCTTAAGTTACCATGAAGGCTCAAGTTACCCTGAATGACGGTATGCGGGTTTTCCTCTCATGGTAAATGTTTTGTTTCATAATGTGCCAAGCATGTATGGAAGTGCACGGGGCTGGCCGGAGAAGCTGTTTTGAATTGAACACGTGCAAAGGTGCGACATAATTTCTTAATGATTTGCTTGTCTTCTATTTTTTTTTAGCATGCGAACATTCCATACAGTTTTGTTCTTACCATGGGCTTCAGTGGTGAGTTGACACGCGATTCAAGTGGTGCTTTATTGAGGCGGTGCTGTATCGCACAGTATTTCGGTCGGAGATGAAGCGTAAAATAAGTAGTGTGTCCATTTTCGGGGTTTCCTGGACCTGAACAGGCATCTGAACTTGAAATTTTATGCTCATTGCAGGACAATACAATTAGGAATAGTTTTGTTATATCCTGTTCCTTCAAGCGGAGACAAAATTTGTTTATTTTTATACCGATTTTCTGGGATCTTTGTTACGTACCTCACTTGTATTTCATTTTCAAAAGCAATGCAAAGAAATGAGGAAGTGGCTTGGAAGTGGGGGAAGTGGAAGATTAATGGCTCCGAAATGTGATTCTTTTAACATCACTGATGCTAAATGCGTAATAAAAGTGTCGTGCATAAGCGGTAAGTAATCCTTACTCCGTTACTGGTTGTGGCCGGTACAGCGCACGGCTGGTAGCACATGACGTTGACTAACTCGGGACGGTGTGGCCTACTTTTGAGCTGACTCAGATCCGACTCTAGGAGGTCCGGCTTTATTCCGGAATGTTGTCTGGTGGAGTCAGTTTTGTCTGCAACGGTTTGGTGGACAACTTGTTGTATTGACGTCCAAAAAATCCACATTAAAGTGTTGTTTTTTTTTGCAAAATGACTGCATATTGTGCTCCACCGAGCGTTACGTATCAGCCATTCACTGTGTGTACCGGATGGTCGGAATCAACTGTGTACGACTAGAACAGAACCAAACATCATGGGCGTGCATGTGTGCGTGATATCTGAATCGATTACCCATAGAGAAGCCTGCAAAAGTAACTCGGAGTACTTGCCCGTTTCATGTCAGTTACTGGATATGGTCCAGGTGTTCGCACTCTCGCTTGCCGCGCAGAGCCACGCGCTTCTTCACCGCAGTTGTCGAGCAGCATCACGGTATCAGCCAAGCGCATGTGTCTGTCAAATCCCTTGTGACCTCGCAGAGTGCTACCGATTTGCGTTGTTTGAGGCTCCTGAGTTATCTGGTTGTGCCCATAAGGCACAACCCCATAGGAAAACGTCTGGAGACCGAGCTGATCAGGATTGTTGCGCCCTACGGACGATGAATCGCTCCTCGAAGCGCCGGTACAGCCTTTCTAAGTACCATGTGTGACATGCAGGGTGTGGCCCGATTGTGCCGGGTCCGCATGGTGTTTTGGGTGACTCTACAATGACTGCGGGTGCCGCTCCAGAAGCGGTTGGGCGTCCTGACGGGACGCTCCTTGTTGACGGTGATGGATCGGCTGCAATTTCATAACCAAGAGGGATCGGTGATCTCCATTGCTCACCAGCTAGTAGCCGTGCGTGAGTGCAGCGGTTTTCCATTACCGTGTCTGGAATGTTGTTGGCCCGGATTCGGCAATTTTGCGTGTTCACATCCCCATTCAGCAGTACATGTGCCCTGTCACCAACTTAACGTTGTTGATGACGTCGGGCTTCGCACGTCGACATCAGCGGTGCGCTTGCGATAGAAGTGGCTCGCAAAAGTAGCTCTTCCGGTCTCGGCGTCTTCAGCGAGTATTTGGTGGACGTATTCCTGATGCCACGCCGACCCAAGATCACTTTCTAGTGTTCTTCACACCGTGCTGTAACTGGCGTCAGCCTAATTTATTTCTTACAAGTTGTGAGGACGATAGCTGCGACATTTTCCGCCGTTTCTACAGTGTTCACATGTTGTCACCCACTGCACCCTTCGCTGAGGCCTAAACACTACCCTCAGCTTAACACGCGCCCGGATGTCCGGTTGAATACTCTCGCTCGGGTGCGATGGGGTCAGTTTAACCCCCGCCCCCTGAGCTTAGAAACTGATAGAGCTACAACAGACATCAAATTCACGGGGTGTGTAGGCCTGTACGTGAACTCATTGTGTCAAAACTATTGTGTCAAAACTTGAGGCTCTAAGGTCGTGACCCGGTCAAGTAAGGTCAGTTCAGGTCAAACTTCAGATTGGTGTCCAAAGTCCCCCAGGCCGTCTCATGGAACCATCATGAACATAGATGCCTGTACTAAGCCAAGGGTCACCGGTGCTCATCTATAGTCAATGGCCTTGCGTGACCTTTTGAAGATCATGATGACTAAAATTAGACAAGCCTGCTCTGATTTTTCTCATTTGAATAAGCATCAAGTATAAGGCTAAGCGCTATTTTCCTTAAAAAACAAGATGTTGACCTGGGTCTTTTTAGGTCAGTGACCTATTCTGATCTTTGACAAGTCCATGGGAGGTACATGACGCGGTTCCTGTTGTAAAAAAAATTAATAATAAGCACCAGAAGGTACCCAGTGCAGCGGGTTCTAGCGTAATAGGTTGGTTTTGACCCTGGTCTGGCCTTCATCCCTGACCCTAGGTCAATGGACTTCGTTATTTCAATTGTTGTTGCTTAAGAGACTATCTTAGAGATATAGGGCTTTATCCAGGACCCCGTTGTTACATCAGATTCAGCGATTTCCTGAAATTGTCTTCGCTGTGTCCATGGGGTGACTGATCTGACATGCGTCAGCGACCTCCAAAGTACAGGTAAATTTCTGGCACCAAACGATTCACTATGAAATTGTCTACATGTATGCAAAATTTGGCGCGGCCACGCTGCGCCGTTCGGAAACCATTCCGGAAAAACCGTCGGTGGTTGTCGAATCGACTTCTCCCCCGAGCGCGTGTTAGAACTTTCAGAGTTCCTGCTGGTAGGTACATACTGTGCACATAATTTTATGCGGGCTGGTTGAAGCTTCTGGAAGAACTTCGGCGTGTGCCATATGCGCCGGGGGTGTGTGTGTTCTGTCTGTCCTGCCTCGCACAGTTAGCACTGGTGCGACACGGTCGCTTATTCAAACACGTGTCCAGACCGCGCGTAGTCTCAGCGGGCGTGACAAAGAGGACCTCCTCCAGGCACTCGGCTAGACTGCGGCGAGAGGGTCCTGAAGCCACTCGACTGCCTGAGGGTGGTCAGGCCATGATCTCGGTCCCGCGTGAGTCGTCATGGCACAGCGGCGCATGCCGTGAATGGCCGGATGAGCCTCACTAAGGAGATCGTAGCTCGCGCTAACGACGCTGGGCAGTCCACAACCAGACGCGCCCGGCATTGGTGGGTCTGCAATATGTCGCTCTCGCGCGATGTCTGGTGCAGTCTCCGCGGTTAGCGAGGTTTCGCACCGAGTCCTGAGAAGAACTGTGCGCCGTTGCCCGACAGAAGCATTCGCAACCGTTCCATGTCGTGTGGATGCTCTCGTTATTTGTGCGGCCATTTTGTAGCTTGGGATTGAATTGTGTCAGGTGTTGATTTGTATAGATGGTTTATCAGGTCCCAGGGGCTCTGATGTGGTATCGGTTGTTGAAGCCTCTTTGTAAAATATGTTGTCTTCCTTGTGTCTTTCTGTGCTTGTTTGTGGAACTTATAATCCGTCACTATGCTCGTGGTGCTGTTTTGAAATCACAGGAATCTTCGCTCCTTGCTAAAATTATCAGCCTTTGTACCTGGTGTGTGTGTGTGTCCTATTAGCGTCAGGAACCATAGGAGCGCCCCAGATACACAGAGCCTTCGTTCCAGTGGACGCTGCATGGGGTAGTGCCCTGGGGTAGGCGTTCCAGTGGACGCCGCATGGGGTAGGGCCCTGGGGTGGGGAAGTACTACTGAGAGTTATAGATACCGAGTAGAACGAGGTCCAGTACAAAAAAGTATGAAGCTAGAGTGTACTACTGTGAGTCTCTGAGCTCCAACAAGCTGAAGCCGGTGAAACTCTGTACCAGATTAAGACAGTCGTGTCTACGCAACGGTAGCGGGGAGGAAGTTGTGTTTTTCCGGCTGCAGATAGGCCACACATGCTACGCGCCGCCACCTGCTATTGGCTGGCGACAGACCGCGCTACAGTCGATGCTGTGATCCACTGATTGTGCATCTCGTGCTCTTCGCTTGCCGCCGCCTAACTGCAACGTGAGCGCGCCTTTTCGGACACAATGCGCAGAGTCGTACACGGTGCCGTTTTTTAGGGATCATTCGCATGCTATCGCGACTGGCAGTCTTCCTGTTGTTTTCCGCCGCTGATTTTCCAGTCATCTTTTTACCATGACACCATGCTTGATCCTCAAGACTCAGGGTGAGCTGTTTGGTAAACCTGTTTGATGTGCGACCCTACGTATTATGATAAATATGTGGGATCCTGCAGACAACCCCACCCCACCCAAAGAACATCACCACCGACGAGCGGTGGTGCGGCTGTTAACGACACGCGTTGTCACACGCGGTCCAAACCTCCAATACGTTTTAGACAGCGTGTGTCCTCACGTGCATGCGTGCCGCCTCCACCACGGACGTGACGAAGTGGTTATAACTGGTGACCGCCATCTTGGCTGTAAGTGGGTGCGCTGGGGTGTCGGTTCGGCGAGGAAAAAGGTAAGGTTGGTTCGACAAGTGTCCTGCTTAATGAAATCTGTCATGTTGAGTTGCGGTAGTTTAGTGAAATCGTGTTTTTAGTTTAGAATATTTTACTTTTAGTGTCAAAAGGACAACGCGTTTTTATGCCGTTGCATTACACGTGGTCATTGTTCTCGGTTTTGTCAAAGAATGGTGGAAGTACTACGTTTCATCCAAGCAGTTGCCAAGACTGTCCGTCCAAGACTGTCACCAGGACTGCTGGCCTTTGGTGCTGTCATTCCCGGTGGCATGACGCGTTTTCTTTCTTCCAAATGTCCCTGGCTGGGATGGCCTGCGGCCGGCGAAAGCCGCCACCTTAAGTGAAGATCAGATGACGCCAGAAGACAGCAGGCTGGGCCGTTCCTAGCATACGGAACGTTGAGGTTTTGCCACGTAGCTGACAAATCCGAATGGCCGGGGGTATCGCCAGCTTAGCGCCATGGACCGAAACGCCGTCACAATATGAATGCCATTGTTGCGAACTCGCTCTAGTACATAACATCATGATGCGTCTCAGTGGCTCATAACTTGCATAATTTGTTTCAGTCATGGAGTGCAGGACTAACAGATGCAAAAATAATGCAAGCTTAGATGCAAAGCCCCTTGTAGAAACAGAGATGCCTCATAAACTATTGGAATATTACACAAGTTTTAGGACAAGCCCGGGCCCCTTAACAGGCGTACAAGGTACGGTTTGACAAAGACATCAGTACTTGAGAAGCTTACAAATGAAAGTTGCCGAACGTTGTTATCGCATGCGACTAGGTACTTGTGGGACAGTGACGCGGACTGGTGCACGTGAGGTAGTGCTAACGGGGTAAGTGAATTATATTCCAGTTCTAACCCACAACATATTCAGTCTTTTCTCAATCATGTCCATCGGAGAGCTCAAGGTTTTGGCCAACTTCACCCCCGATTCGGCCACGCAAGCTGCATTTAAGGCGACCCCAACTCTGCCTAAAGCAATATCGTTTGAATCGGAAGTCCATATACAGTGAGGGAAGGTAGAAAGATGTGGTCGCATGGGTCCAAAATATATGTCCAGGTCTACGGGTGGAATCTGGTCCAAGTTCTTTGCACCAGTAGCCAATAGGGACATCACTTTATTATGTAAACACGCTGCTTAATTATCGTAGCTTATTTTTCCGTTCGTCTTCATAACGGTACGGACGGCCCCGCAGGGGCACCGGCTTTGGCCGGTGTAGGGGACTAGCGCCCCCTCGGGACCCAGCTCCGGTAACTCCGGTGGATAGCGCAAGCTGTTCCTCTCAGACCGTAGCAACCCTGCCGGTACGTGAGCTCCTGCTCCTTGTCCCGCCCGCTCCCTCCACATTACCCGCATTCCCGCATCCGGCCCTATCACCACTCCTCATCCTCGTTTTATCGGGGTGCCGTGACCCCTCGCCCACGTCCCCTGGTTGATCGGATCCTGGTGGCTAAGGGGCGCGTCTTGCGGATCAGTCGCGACGCGTCCCAACACTCCACTTTGGCCAGGATATCCGGGGGCGTGGGGGGCCGTGGGGCCCCACACGGGTCTAGCGGCTTGTCGCTCGCGCTGCGGTTGGGTGCTCTGCGGGTTTCCGCTTGGGGCGTCCGACCGCGCGCAGCGGGTTAAGGAGTCAAGGGGCGGCGGCGCTGAACCACGGTCAGGACGGGGAGGGGTCTCCCCGGTTATCCCTGGCCGTGTGGGAGGCGTCGTTCGCCCCGTATAGCACCGGGGTAGCCCTGGCTTTGATCACCTCCCGAGGGAGTGTTGGGCCGTTCCCCAGTTGGGCTCCGAGGTGGGTGGGGAGCCCCGGTGCCGAATACTCCAAAAGCTCGCATGGATTTTCACTCAACCAACCCCAACGGAAATGACGCTTCAGCTCAGACGGCTCGGCTGACGACGATGGACGACCGTCCCTCCCCTTCGGAGGAGAGGCGAAGCGGTCTTTCCGGCACGGGTGAAAGACCGCTACCACGGACTGATTCCCGCTCCACCCCGTTGGAGCGGACTAGAAGTGGGAGAGTGGGAGTACCGGGGACTGCCGGGCAGGCTGCTCAGTCTTGCCCACTGGTTCTTGTGCTTGCCAGTAGTGAAAAGGATTTGTGTAGTCTGTCGCCCTTTCAGCGGCTTAGCGGATGTGATCGGCTCGGCAGGGTGACGCGCTGTGACAAGCTCAGAAATGGAACGATCGAGGTGGCGTTTTTGAATGCAGCGGAAGCGGAAAAGACAAAGAAGGCAACCTCATTCACATTCACGGTCAGGGATAAAGATGGAAGGCGAGACGTCACTTAACCCATCATGGTGACGGCTCACAAACCGAAAAACTGTTCTCGCAGGATCATTAACTGTTTTGACCTGGAGGGTGTCAGCGAGGAGGATATCGTGGATGGTCTGCCTGGTTTCGGTGTCGTTGAAGCTCATCGGATCAGAGTTAGGAGAAGAGAGCACCGGGTCCCAACAAACAATATTATCCTTACTTTCAACCGTGTGGATCTTCAGAAATAGTAGTCGGTTACGTAAAAGTGAAAGTTCGTTTGTACATTCCCAACCCTATGCGCTGTTTCCGGTGTCTTCGTTTTGACCATAGAAAATATTACTGCAGGAACAAGCCGACTTGTGGGAAATGTTTGGAGACTGACCACACTAGCGAGACCTGCAGCGCTGTACGACCGAAGTGTGTTAACTGCGACAAAAACCAGATCCCGCACACGACATTTGATCGTGCTTGTCCGGCGTACTCTCGAGAGAAAGAGATTATCTCCATCAAGTGCTCCCGGTGCATCTCTTCCCGAGAGGCACGGGATATTTACCATAACTCGCATCCCAAAATATCTTACGCGAGTGCAGTGACTAGCTCCCGCTCAAACGTGGTTCGTCGTGAGGTCAGCTCGGACCGTATGAACTTGACGCAGTTTATCGCACTTCTCCAGTCATTTGGGTTGACTTGCAGACCGGCAGCGGGTTCGCATGTTTCGCCGGCGTCCGCGGCGCCCGCCGCACCGCCTGTAGCTGCGGCGCCGGCGGCCCCCGTGTCGCCAGCCTCCCCGGTCGGAGAGACACTGGAGGGCGAGGGGTGGACTGGTTGGTCGGGCTCGGGAGGGGCCCCCTCCCGGGCAAATCAGACACGTTCTGGGAAAGAGGCGCCGACCACAGCGCCTCCCCCAACAACTGCGAACCGAACTTCACCTAGCGAGACAGTGATGGAAGTCTTACGGCGCGGTGAGGTGGAGAGGAGAGCCCGCGAGACCAGGCGAGCGCGTCTGGTCGAGCAGGCGAGGGTGGCCAGGCGGTCCCCGGGGGCTACCGATTCGTCGGCCCCGGCGGGGGACGTCAAAAAGTCTCCTCCCTTGGGGTTTGCCCGGGCGTCGGTGCCGGCGGTGACTGGCGGTGCGCCATCGTCTGCGGTGTCTGGTGGGGTGCCGTCCTCCATGGGAGGGAGCGCTTCCACGCCTCACAAGCGCGTTGGGCCGCCGCTTGTTCCGTCCCGAATGGGTGCCCCGCCGCCTCCTCCGCCTTCCGCTGCGCCTGCTCAGTCCCTGCCGCCTCCGGCGACCCCGCCGTCGTCTCCGAGGCCGTTGGATCCTCCTTCCGCCCCGGGCCGCCCCGCTAAGCGCGGATTGCCCTGGAGAGGCTCGGCGACGGACGAGGGAAGTCCGCGAGCGCGGCTGAAGTTTCAGTCGGGCTCGAATGAATGTCGTTCGAGTTCTGTGGACGGGAGGTTGCGCCGAAGTGGAGGTGTGCACCCCCGGGTACACTTCAGGGAGTTGGGCCCTTCATCTGGTGCAACGGAACACTTCCAATCATCTTAGTCATTTTTACAGTCTGTAACAGTTTTATGTTACCTTTTTACGCCGCCCATGTTCTTCTTAGCTTCATAGTTTTAATCTTCATTTTTAAACAGGTTTTTTGCAGGTTATCCTAGGATGGAACTAGAGGCTTACGAACCAGTGCCCAGGATTTACAGGCTGTGCTAAATCACCGCTGTCCGGTTGCCGTCTGCCTCCAGGAGACGAAGCTGTCGCCGAATTCTCACTGCACGATCAAATGTTGCTCAATATGTAGCAAAGGTGTGCTACCAGACATTGTGGCGCACGGTGGTGTGCTGTTGGCAGTGCACCATACTGTGCCTGCGCAGCAGCTTAGACCACAAACCTCGCTCCAGGCGGTTGCTGCACGTGTACATTTTAATCATTGTCTTGTAACCCCGTGCTCAGTGTATTTGCCACCGGGGCTCAGATTTGCATTGGCGCAGCTCAGATAGTTCATGGCAGAGCTCCCTCCGTCTTTGGTTATCTTGGGATATTTTAACGCACACCACACCGTTTGGGGTTTTGATGACAGCAACGCGCGGGGACGTTCTTTAGAGCAATTTATTCACGAGGAGTCGCTCTGTGTTTTGAATACGGGATCTCGGACCCATTTTACGTTACCGTCAGATCAGACGTCGGTTTTGGACTTACGCCTGGTGAGTCCGCAGCTCGCGCAGTTTTTTACGTGGACTATAGCCGACGACCCTATGGGAAGCGACCACTTCCCAGTGTGGTTGGAGTACTGTGACGGGGCGGTCCTCGGCCCTCGGCCACGACGTTGGAAATCTTAAAAAAGCAGATTGGAGGGAGTTTCAGTCGCAGTTAGAGATGGACTTTGGTGCACAGGCCGTGGATGGTGCAAACTACCGGATCGAACATTTCACGTCCGCGCTTTTACGTGCAGCGAACGCAATCATCCCAAAGACATCTGGCGCTCCTCGTCGCACCCCGGTGCCGTGATGGACCGACGAGTGCCGAGCTGTTATCCCGGCAGGTAGGTGGGCCTTTCGGGCCTTAGACCGTCACGCCACAGCCGATAATTTAATCGCATTTAGGAAAGCCAGTGCTTTGGCCGGGCGCACCATCCGGGAGGCAAAGCGCGTTTCCTGGCAAAAGTACATGGGACGCCTAAATCGTTTCACTCCCATGTCGCAAGTATGGTCGCAGATCAAGCGCATCTCTGGCCAGTTTTCCGCGGTTCCTCTACCGGTTCTTGAGGTTGGTGGGCGGGACATTTTACATCCTGCTGACGTCGCCAACGAGATCGGCCGTGCGCTGACGGAACCGTGTGGAGACGGTAACGTTGATCCCCAGTTCCTGCGTCATAAGGCGCGTTGTGAGGCCAGTCCAGTGGACTTTTCCACCTCTGTGTACCTTGCCTACAACGAACCATTTACAGTGGTGGAACTGAGGGCTGCTGTTAGCAGGCTTCGGAGCATATCAGAGGATCCTGACGAGATACATAACGACATGATTCGACATCTACCCATCTGCGTTCTGGACGTTCCGTTGGCCATTTTTAATCGTCTTTGGGAACGAGGCGAGTTTCCAAACCTTTGGCCAGAAGCTGTTGTACCCCTTCTAAAGCCAGGTAAAAGCGGCAAAGATCCGCTTCACTACAGACCCATCTCTCTTACATCTTCAGTGTGCAAGCTGATGGAGAGACTCGTCAATGGCCATCTTTCATGGTTTTTAGAGAAACATGCCATTTTGACTGATTTACCAGTGTGGTTCTAGGAAACACCGTGGCACGCTGGACCATCTTCTTATCCTGGACATTGCTGTCTGTGCTGCTTTTAAACAGCGTCGCCATGTGGGAGCTGTCTTCTTTGATATAGAGGGCGCTTACAATACCACATGGCGACATGGTATACTTATGAAGGCTTTTAAGCACGGTATTCGTGGTAACATGGGCTATTTTTTTACAGAACTTTTTAGCGGAGCGTTCTGTCCGCGTCCGTGTTGGTTATCAGTTTTCTGATCGTTTTTTTTTTTTACAACGGAGCGGTGTGCCCCAGGGAGGTGTTTTAAGTGTCGCGCTTTTTGCGCTCATGATCAGTGACGTCGGGAATGTATTGCCTCACTCTATTGGTCGCTTGTTGTTCGTCGACGATCTTGCAATCTGGTGCAGCTCTTCTCTGACCTCAGCGATGGAACGTCAGTTGCAGCTGGCTGGAGCACGTCTGGAGAGGTGGGCCACGCTGAATGGTTTTCGTTTCTCCACGTTGAAAACAGCGGGTGTGCACTTTTGTCGCCGTCGTGGTCACTGCCAGGATGTAGCGATCCGATTGTATGGCGAAGCTATTCCATTTGAGCCCGTGGTCCGTTTTCTAGGCGTGCAATTTGATCGCCGCCTTACTTACAAAGACCATAGAAAGGCGCTGCGAGCCAAATGTTTTAAAACCCTGAATGTCCTGAAGTGCATTGCTCGCACGTCATGTGGTGCGGACAGGAAAACGCTCTTGCTCTTCTATCGTTCTCTTATCAGATCCAAGCTCGACTATGCTTCTTTTGTTTATGACGGCGCTTGTGAGTCAGTAAAGCGCTCAGTGGACACGATACATCATACTGCCTTACGTGTCGCAACAGGTGCATTCAGGACCTCTCCGACAGCGAGCCTCCTTGTTGAGGCCCACGAGCCCCCTTTGTCCGCTAGGAGAAAGATATTAGGCATGAGATACGCCTGCAAGTTGGCACAGTTCCCCAATCACCCAACATACAAGTGGGTCTTCTCCCGCCGCACATTGTTGTTTGTGACTGTTGTTTGTTTATGACTGGGACAGTACATCGGATCGCACCTTTCTGTGTGAGGATGCTCATACCTTTACAAGAATGTGGTATTCACACACGGCATGTGATCCGTTGGGAAATTCCTGAGGCCCCTCCTTGGAAGCTCTACCCACCAGCAGTGGATGTCTCACTTTCCCATTTTGCGATGGGGCGGATGTCTCCGGATGAGTTTCGGCTGAGGTCTTTGGAGCTGATCGCGTCGTACCCGGATCACAAGAAGACCTACACGGACGGTTCGAAAGTGAATGCCAGTGTTGGATGTGCTTTTGTACATGGTCCTGTCACACGGTCTTTTGCTTTGCCTGGTCACGCATCGGTCTTTATATCCGAGCTAATAGCCATTCTCAAAGCACTCCATTTCATAGAAGGTGGCAGTGACGATCTACACCTAGTTTTATCGGACTCTCTTAGTAGCCTTTTGGCACTGCAGGATTTGGATTCATCACATCCTATCGTTCAGAACATTTTAACTCTTATTACTGCACTGTCCCAATCCGGGAAGCAGGTGGTGTTCTGCTGGATACCGAGCCACGTTGGCAAAGCGGGCAATGAAGTAGGTGATGACGCAGCAAGGCGTGCCACACATGCAACTAGCAACCCTACTGTGGCAGTCCCAGTTAACGACCTATGTGCAGTAGTTTCTGCATTCATGTTGAAGCATTGGCAAGCGAACTGTGATGCGCGTGCTGCCAATGAACTAAAAGCGATAAAGCCCCGGTTGGCACCACGGGCGTCCAGTTGTCGTAAGGTGAGGCGGGATGAAGTGACATTATGTCGCCTGAGAATGGGACACACATACGCAACTCATCGATACCTGTTATGTGGGGAAGACCAACCGCGACGTCCCCGCTGCGGGGATCATTATACCGTAAAACATGTGCTAATAGATCGTGCCCACCTCGCATCGGAACGCATGCGCCATTTTGGATCGGGGTCCGTGTGCCAAACGCTCTACGCTATGTTGGGAGACGACTCGAGTTTAGTAAATAACAGCCATACTTTTAGTTATCTTGAAGACATAGAATTTCATACAATATATCGGACGTAGCCTTACCTGCTCGCTTTTTCACGCGTCTGTTAAATAAAAAGTAGGTTATGGGCGCCATATGACCAGCGTAGTCGGTGCGCCCCAAAGCCCAAATCATCATTATCATCAACGGTACGGACGGCGGAATCGCCGTGCCTTTGTCTGCCCACATGGTCATTGTTCTCGTTAGGTGGCTTTCCAACTCCATGGGCTGTTAAACCAGCCTCAGCAGTTGCTTTGTCTTTTTGCAGCTAACCTAAGGCATGTGCCAAGGGCCTGCGCGACTCCCCTTGCCGCGACGCTGTGGAGGCAACGTACAAAGACAGTGGCTCGTTCAATACATTCATATTCAATGCCAACATATGTTTTTGATTGCGTCAAGGCTGAACGTTATGTGTAATTAAGATATGATCATTTTATTTCCCCTTTCCAGAAACAGCTTGCAAACTTCTGGGTGCCTAGGTATCGAAAGTGGACCAGGTCATCAATAAACAACTGTGCATGTTGCTGGCTGCCGTCGGAAGGGTTGCCGATGGAAAAAGGTAATCCGCCATCAAGACGCCGAACGTTCCCCTGCCTGCGATGGATGAGTCGGAGCTGAATGAGCTGCTGACCGTCGTCGAGAACGAAAATAACCGGAAGTATTTGGTAGGTGCTGGTTATGTCTTTGGGGTTGCATGTAGTATTGTTTGATATTCACGGCCAGTTTATTTCACCTGAGGGAGACGGGGCATATCACATGCAACAATCTGTGCACGCTTATTTGGCAGAAATGAATCCGTGATGCAGCGTTCCTGGATGCAGGGCGAGCGAGCCACGGGGCATAATACGTCGTCACGCCTGTTCAGTTGCCTTATGTGTCACTGGTATGGTTTAATCATGACAATGCATGTTGTTCTAGTATCCCCTTAGGCTGATTGTAGGCTAGCGGTCTATAACGTTAACTGAATGAAAATTACGTGTTAAAGCTAAGTATTGTGTTTTCTGGAAAAGGCTTTATCGCAGGCAAACTTTCAGGATGCTCCAAAGAAGTACAAAAACTCACGATACCTTACACTTCGTCGCTCAAAGCAACCCAGAAACCTGGTCCTCAAAAGTCATGCTGAACCGACTTAATCAGTCATCTAACGTAGATAAGCTCACACCGAATTGGACTCAGAGGTATTTCCCCAATGTCCGGGCTCCACCAGAATGAAATGCTGGTAAATATATAGTTTCTTACGTTATGCTCTGGCCCTCGCCAGGCGAACGATATTTTCACTCGCGCCGTTGGCGGGTAAATTTTCGGCCTTCACGGCCGTTCGATCCGCAGTTGAGCTACATGTGCAAAGTGAAGGCCATAACAAAAACTGTGCCTGGTATTGTCACTGTTTGGTACAGTGGCGTTCATTGGTCTTCAGTGGTGTTTTGATTCAGTGGTTCACAACAGCGGTTGACTCAGCAATCATCGGTGTAGCCTCTTGGAGTCGACCAGTGCCCGTTAAGTCATAATAACCTTAATGCCTGAAACACGGTTGACATGATAACTTTTTCGGACCTTCAAGTCATCGTGCTGAAAGGTGTCATTTACGATTAATGAATGGTTCTGATGTTCAATCTCAATGTAATAGCTCAGTGCAGTGCAGTAGCTACAGCTCAGTTCAATCCAATACAATACAAAATAGCTCAACGCCTAGCTCAGCCTTAGAACTGCTGCGCTTGCCCTCAGCGATGCTATATCTAAGCAACCCGGTGTGGTTTGGGCCCATTTTTCCAGCATGCGTTGAAAAGTGTTGTTGTGCCGTATGGATAATTAACAACACTGTCACTTATCACATTCTGATGCACAAAGTCAGTTCAAAGTTAAGACAGTGTCGTGAAATATCATGGCATTTCCGTAGGTGACCTTTCATTACCCTTTGAAAGCTAGCTTTTCATATTCGGTGTATGGTGACGTGCATTAACAGTACTGCGCGGTCGACTTAAGATGAAATTTACATTTGCATCTTTATTTTCACCTACATTTCATTATCATGTTAGCAAAAGTTGTAGTTCGCTTTCGGTGATATCATGTGGCTTTTGAATCTGTGCTCGGACGAAGCGAACATGGGATGGACCAGCCCCCCCCCCCCCCCCCCCCACCGTCACCCTCATGCCCACACACTGCGGGAGATGGCAGGACCGGCGAAGCAAGTGTAAAAAAAAACAATGGGCACCGCACCGGGCGTGAGTGGCAGATTTCCTGGGTTCGAAATTTCTAAATTCTTGAGTCATTTCCTCTTGACTGGAATGACTCGCGGCCGGTGGCAGCGACCGCGTTAAAGTTCAGGTGACGTCAGAGGTTAGGGTGGACCATGCCGAGTATCGCGGCACGTCAAACTGCCGTCACCAAATTCTGTCACAAATTCGGCATTGCGCGGTCGGGTGTCAGTTGTCAGGGCTCACGCAACACGCACTGCTTAGCGTGAGCTGGAATCTCAGGAATCCAACCGTTCAAAACGCTCGGACTAAATCTCTTTTTAGTGAGGGTTAGGGTACGCTGGGCGAGGTTAGGCTGATGTAATGCAATCAGTGTCTGGGACCATGGAAGACACAAATTCCCTGTGCCCACCACTGGGAGTGCTTTTAGAAGACCCCTCACACCGACTGCGTATGTAAACGTGGCAAACAACGTACCGTAAATGTCCGACTGCGTTACGGCCGTGCCCAACAAGGTCAGCATCAGAAATGCGTTGACGTTGTTTCCCACTTCCAGGCAGCCTAAAAAAGCCAAGTTGGGCCTAAATGTCAGTTCAAGGGCAGTGCCATTCACCAAACAATCGTCAGTAAGTGCAGCGGTTTGGTCCTGTGTCGTGTGTATGCGATGGAAGAAAGGTGAGAGAATGCTCTATGTGTGCGTGGTTCAACGACTGGATGGTATGGTGACAATGATGAGGCTTGTGTACTCGGCGATGGCAAACGGCCGCGACGCATGTGGCCGTTTGACACCCGGTCGTGCAGCCGGAAGCTGTTCAAGTTCATACATGAACGGGCTCGAAAAAAACCTCTGCCGTTTCTTTGATTTGCCAGATGCACAGCCAGTATTTTACCCGCCCCGATGCACGCACGCAACATGCCGTGATCACCGATTTTCGAGGTGGAGGTCGTAACGTCTGGTTGCTTGATTATGCAGGCGGGCAGGCGCCCAGCATCAGTCGTTGGGCAATGGGAGAACGCGCCCTAATATGAAATTGGTTTCGCCTGCAGTGATGGTGAATGAGAACCTGCATTCGGTCGGCGTGTCCGTTAGGAGATCAACAGGCCGCTAGCCCAGATGGCTGCATGGTTTGAGAGACCGGGATGGCTGACACCTTGAACGCATCCGTCGTAAGATGACCGAGGCTGGAGCGTCACGTTCAGGGATGGCGTCTTTACCCAGTGGGGCGCGATGAACGCTGAGCCGACCCGTCGACTGGAAGGGGATCCATTTCCTGAAGATAAAAGTGACAGGCCATTTCCAAAATATATAAGTGTGCTAAGAACCAGCGACGCGGGGAATCTCTTCGTGAGTCTCAAGGCTCCGTGACCATTTTGGACAGTATGCTGGTAAGCATTATTGACTGAATGAGCTTGCCATTATGTCAAACACGATACAACAGACCGGCTTTTTGGATAGATGACAAAGCACTGAAAATCACATATGCAATGTGAGCAGTAAAATGTAAGCCTTGTTTTGAGAACAAGTCCATGAAAGTTCTCTGTACTCTGGAAATGACTTTTCAACCAAGTATATGGAAGTCGTGACATACCGATCCATTAGGAATCTTTATATGTCAAAGAATGTTGACTACCAGGATATCACTTTGTAAGGCTGGGACCTCTAAACGGCCTAAAAAGATGCAAATGAAAAGCCAAATATCAGAGTGAAATATTGATAGAAATGTATTTGCAACAGTTATTTTGACTCTTGAAGTATTTCTAACAAACGATACGTGACGGGAACGTCGCATCCTAGTTAAAACTTGGGCGTATCCACGCGAGGAGTCGTCAGATCTTTAGAAGCTGTTCGAACCCCATGATATCACCACATCTGATTGGTTGTTGGGTGGGTGAGTGTTCAGTGACTAGCACTGACTTCAGGCGAAGTGACTGATATTGGTCCGGCCTGTCGGGTTATGCTGTTCAAGAAGTCCACCAAAATTTCGCTGAAGGCCTATGTCACTTCGAGGGCGCGTAAAGAATCTTTGGGGAATGGACGACGCGCTGAACTATCAGAGAGGACTTGATAAAACATATTTAGTTACTTGATTTTAAGATGAATTCAGAATTATGAATTTAATTTTAAGTGATATCATAATACTAAATTGAGGCACATGAAATAATAATTTATAGCTTATATTTCAGTGTGAATTTATTTAGGTTAAATGTATTCTCTCTTTTGATAAATAATAGTAGTATTCCTTTTCCTCGCAACCCATTTCTTGGGGTACAAAACCAGCGAACGGCTTTTTTACCGCATTGTCCGCTTTAAAGCGGCTATTGCTCTTCTGCTCTCGTTGTGTGCCGTAACGTCTAACTAAAACACTGCCGTAAAAAGAAGTGCTTTACGTCTTTGCCTTCCATAGGTTTCATGCTAAGGTCAAAACTTCGCTGCATAATTGTATTGTGCAGACAGTTGGCAAAAAGAAAGTACCAAATTATTCAGGGGTGTTTGTTACAGCCGTTCATATATATATATATATATATATATATATATATATATATATATATATATATATATACTGTCCCAAACAAATGTTTTCAGCCGTATTTACCTCTCGCCAGTCAACACATAGCATAGCCCTAAATATCGCAATGGGCGCAATATGACCTTTGATGTTGACGCGTTCTAAAATACCATCAGCATATCCCAAATAAGTGCGTTTGAAACCCATTGGACTGGCATGTAGTTAGTGAAAGGGCTGCCCACGTCAGTAATAATATTAACATCCTTTTTTATTACAGAGCTGATTAATAATCGGGAGATGATACCTCTGCGCAAGATGACTGCAGTGAAGGCGGATGTTGTTTCAAAACAAAAGTACGGACAGTCCATCTGTCAGCGTTTGCAAATGCACCGGGGCTGAATCAAAAGGCACGCTTCGAGTTCACGTGTTTCATAGTCTAATGGGTCTCCTCAGTTTCGGTCAGCGTTTTGTTATGTATTGTAACCGGCTGGAAGACTCCACGTAGGAAGAAGCGAAGCCATCACACAACGGTGATTTCATGCATAGGTTATTTGAATGGTGATCGACTGACGCAGAGCCAAAACTTAACGTTGCCCGTGGCTAGATCAGGAATACATGAAGCGATCTCTGTACGGACTTTATATTTCGGTTGTGACGTCCAGAACTGGCGACGTTTGACACCTTGCATGACATGGTGACGCATCTTGACAACCTGTGGAAGCATGCCTGGTGGATGAGTGTACAACGGGCGTAGTTTAGAATATCACATTACAGGGTGGGATAGACACATTGCAGCTGTTTTTGAGAAGTATATCCCACAACCATCGTACTCGCTGCTCGCTTTCAAGTCAAGGGATGCAGTTTGACATTGGGTTACCTTCAGGTTTCACATGACCAACCGAAAAATGTCAATGTTGTACGTTTTGGTCGTATGTGAAACGCCGCTCGTATGAAGTACCCCATAGTGGCGTACGGAACGGTTTTGCCTATGCCTGTCATTGGACCCTCTTGGCCTAAGTTCAGTTGCCTCGGCTAACCACTTTTGTGCTCTAGCTTGTCACTGTAACGGTGCAAAGATAACTTTGTAGGGACTGAACTGGTTTCTACATGTAAAAAAGCACCGCGAATTCGTCGAAATGTCAAATTTGTCAAAGTGAGCTATCCTTTAGCGTAATTGGATCATCCCGATATCACCAGTAAAGATGTTATCTGCGTCCCAAAATGCAGATCTATCGCTTGCTTTTTCAGCGGGGAAAATATAGTGTTTTCAGATACCAAACTGTAAAAAGTGGTCATTCCACGTAGCTGTGTAACTCGCGAATGGCTGAACGCTCCTGCCAATGCCATGGTAAAAGGAACCGAATTACGGGACGGGACTTGGTTCAAGGCTGTGGCCTTTCCGTATTGAGTGGGGCAGTTATATATACAGCTTAAGTCGTGAAGGCAGACTTCGTGGATCCCTCCTTTTCGGACACCCGAAAAGTGTAAAAGTAATTTCCCTGTCTTGCACTTGGTGTCCGTGCAAGTAAGGAAAAAGGTTCTACTTTTGTATGCAGTGGTATGTAGACTGAGGTAGTCTACTGAAGGCTCCGGAGAGACTTGCAACCATAAGCTAATAGGTCTGAACACTCCTCTTTTAAGCGTGCATGCAGATGGTCTACCGGCTTACTGAACCGGCTTACCACCGGCGTAACAATATGTGTCACGTATCCAGAAATGTCGGCACCAACGGACCATGGTCTGACCCTGAGCTGTTAGTGCCGTGCGGTGAATGGTTGGGTATGGCAGAGGTGCAGTAAAGAAACGAGGATTTCGTCCAGGAGGGGCTCAAATCCGGGCAAAGGGAATCATTTTCAGGCAGGGGGGGGGGGAGGCGGGTACTTCGTCAATATAGGGGCCATGCTTGGGCCCTGGATACGATTGTCATGCCTCGGGGGCGCGATTTTTAAATTGTTTTATAAGTCCTTTGGATACCTTAAACTACCTGTAAAGTAAATGAGACAGTAGTAATAGCCTTATTCCACGGAGAAAAACCAGGAGAAGGGAGATATAGATGAGTTAAGCCCATCTATATCTCCATTCTCTTGGTTTTTCTCCGAAGAATAAGACTATTACTACTGTCTTAGCTTTATGAATGATGTTCCTCGCAAATGCACTGAACAACTTGCGTACTTTTCAAATATTTGGGTCCTTCTACCTCCAGAGGGGCTTTGCCAGAAAGCCCCGTGACCATTGGCCACGTCACTGCAGAGGTTTCAAATAATATTATTTTTGAAGGTCCTGCCAACCCGTTGTCCCCCCCCCCTTTGGTTTGGTCCTCCAATCCTTCATTGTCATAACATTAAGAGGAATGTCCCACATTTGAAGATATTGAAATAAGCATCAAACACGATGGAGCGAGTTAGCTTATAAGTATTGGTATATTTATCGTGAAAAGGACTACTGTAGCCAACGGAATTTATGCAACATGAGCCAGTCATTTTAAGGTGAGGCGCGAGCTGAGTCGGCCCGCTAGGAAAAATGCCGCCTTGAGTCATGAGCTGAATCACGTTGTTCGGAAATTTCATGAGCTGTACCGTGAGCCGATATTTTCTAACAACGTCGTGTCAGTGAGCGATATGAGTCAAGGCTGCACGAGGAAACACGGCAGGCTCCAGATTATTTAACAGACCATTCCAGAGTGTCCAGAGATGAATTATTCATGTAATCGCTTTTCTGGGAACTGCAATCCGATGCTGAACTACTGGCATGCCATTTCTGACAGCATGGTTAGTACTAGCTAGGGGGAATGTGGTTACCTACGCATGAATGCACTTGTCTAGCACCTAGTAGGCACAGACTGCTAACGATCAGGAAGTGCAGTCAAGTCTACATTGAGGGCTTTATAATTACTGGGTCTGGGTCGTAGATGTCTGGTAGAATGTGTTGGCCTGGAACTGAGGCGTGAGAGAGCTGGTTGCTAACAGGCTACAAGAAAGGTATTACTTAGCGTGCTCCATTTGCTTATATATATATATATATATATATATATATATATATATATATATATATATACATACATGCATGTATGTATGTACGTATTTATGAGACATATCTCACGAGCCACAAAGCAACAAGCCTGAACTGAAATGTATGTTTAATTTTGCAGGCATTGTGAGTCATGGGCCCAATGATTCAACGCAAGCGGGGAGTCCGAACTAAGCTGAATTAAAGCATGAAAATGGCTGAGAGTCATGAGGTGAATCGGATCCCAGAGTCTGTTAGTCGGTCCCGGACGGGATAAAAAAGAAAATGGTCCAATACATGTCTGAAGTCATTGGACGTACGTACGACGTCGAAATGATGCCAAACTGGCCGTATGAAATTGCCACCTTAACACTCACTTGTAGTGTATAAATTTCCCGATAGGTGGCCGGGCGTTACTGGAGGTGTTAAACCAAATACTGTTATGTACTCGTGTCTTGGCGCCTTCTCATGGTATTCTTACATATTGATCCTTGAGTGTAAGGTGTTTACATGCATTCACATGCTCAGTTTTGAGGTATTTTTAAGGTATTTGATTACAAGTCTCATTTCCGTAACGACTGGTAAGGATGTCCAACTTCTTGTATTACGTAGCATAGAGCATGGCTCGTGACTGAAGCTTGCACAGCCCGCGCTGTATTGTATTAGCCAATTGACGTCCGCGTTATCTTGAAATCGTACTCGCGAACGCCAGTCACGAACGACCCCTCCATTATATTCGTGTTGGCCTTGAACGCCACTTAGCTAATCGGGTGGCAGGAAAAGAATGACGTCTCTACGGCGTCATGCATGCCTGAGTTACATTGAAATAGTTTGCACAACATCGTATATTTTCGTGGGTGCGTGACTCAGAAACTAGAGATGTTTGGGTCTTAAGAAAGACAGGGTTGTGAACTGCACCGAACGATCTTCAATATGACTTTATCAGCTCAAAGTCCATACAAATGTGAAAAACTCCTTTCGTAACATGAAAAAGCTGCATATACACAACCCTTCTTTTATTTATAATGATACAGTAACTAAGGTGGCTCCCCTGCTCAAGGAAACCGATAATTGATACACGATGCAAAAGTAAAGATGCAAGCCTTTTATAAGCATCAAGTTGGCCAGACATATCGAGAACACATTCGTAAAAGGTTATCTCGTCTCCCTCCTCCCCTGCTCCCCAATAATTTACAGAAGTCGAAGTCTCTCGGGTGTTATGCCATGCACAACGCCTGTGAGGCAACCATCGTTTTGGGGCCAGATCTATTCTTGGCAGAATTTTGACGCGTTCGGCAGTTTTGTCCCAAATAAATAATAGGCTATCACGTCCAGAGCTCGTTGCGACCCACGCTAATTACACAACTGCAATTAAGCTGCTAACGCGAACGTCTGTCATCATACCGACGGGCGGCTTCGGCGTGCATATGCATAAGGATGTTGGGTCGGTGGCTCGCCATACCCATTGGACGGAAGACCCAGGGCTGCCGGCGATTTCTTGGACTCACGCGTGGATCAGGACGGAGATCCCTAGATATGCCCCCAGGTCTCGCAGTGGCGTCCCACCGTTCAAAAGAGGCGTGCTGGCACACCGCGCTCTGTTGCAGGCCGATTTGGAGGGACTCTGGCGCAGCGCAACGCTCCGACGATTGAAGGTGACCAGCCGGAGCGCTGGCCTTGCCAATACTGCAGCAAAACGTACGCACACCGGCAGTCTCTGTACCATCACTTGCAGATGCACAGGGGTAAAACCAAGTGTCACAAGTGCGGCGAGACGCTCTCGACGCCGAACGCGCTCAAGGATCACGTCAGGTCGCTGCATCGCTCCTGAAGGCTGTCGGCGCTCGTGGAATGCCTGCTGTGTGGAGCTGACGGGTCTGTTGCTCCGTGTGGTCATGACCGTCCACGGCTCGGGGCATCATGTCCAGGGAGACTGCGCGGCTCTGCAGGTGTGCTCCCCACGGTACTCAACACTTGTGTTGTGAGTTGCAAAGTGTGTGGTGGGTTGTGGCTCGCACGAAGATTTTAATATATGTATTGGAAACCACCCATTTGTGCCGCGTGAGCGAATGGTTTGCTGAATGTGTGAAAAATACTACTGCCGCGCATGGCCGGTTAATGACTCATATCAAGTGGCATTGCTCAACATCCTTGCGTCATTATGGCTGCATGTACGGCGCGTAACGTTTTTACTGTTCCATGTTGTTTGTTAAATAAATATGCCAATGGTAGGCGTATTGTCAGGAGTGTAGTCAAATGTGTAGCATTTTACTCAAAGGAGGGTGTCAAATTGTCTTCGAACTCCTATGAATTCGGAGCGAATTCTTCCGAAATTCCTCGGTATGTAGTGTAAGCCTCTTTGCTCGGGGTGGGGAAGGGGGAGGCAGTTATGACCACGTGCATGCCGGTAAATCGTGCTGGCCTATGTTATGCTGCTCTTCCAACAAGTTGTCTACAAATTTGGTAATCCTGTTTTTCGATGTCAATTATCCGAAATCCAGGACGTGCTGAGGCATAAACAAACAGCACTTGCACAACGTAAGTGCGTGTTGGAGTGTGAAATGAGCTGCTGCGGTTAGCCCCACTCGCAGTTTTGAGGACAGTTTTTATAGAGAGCAGCACTCGGCTGACACGCCTACGTGGCCTGCGTGGTCTCAGGTGGAATATTTGTTTGTATAGAGAGCAGCACTCGGCTGACACGCGTACGTGGTATGCGTGGTCTCAGGTGGGGGATTTGTTTTTATAGAGAGCAACACCCGGTTGACACGCCTACGTGGTATGCGTGGTCTCAGGTGGAGGATTTGTTTTTATAGAGGGCAGCACGCAGTTGACATGCCTACGTGGTATGCGTGGTCTCAGGTGGAGGAGTTTTCATAATTTTCCCAATGGTTCAAAGCATGCAAAATGTGGGCGAAGCGTTCCCGAAGCGCCCTGCAATGTCCACTATTCATGCAGGCGGGTTTTGTCGACAGTGCCTGACATATGATTATACGTGTATATACTTATTTAATCATATAATCATATAATCGTAATCGCATTACATGATGTATGTTGCGCGTGCATTTGTCTTGGAGGATTTTATCTCGGAGGACATCTCCTCACTATGCAAGGTTTTTGCTATGATGGGAGGTAGGTTCACGACCCTGCCTGTACGTGAACTCCTGCTCCTTGTCCCGCCCGCTCCCTCCACATTATCCGCACTCCCGCATCCGGTCCTACCACCACTCCTCATCCCCGTTTTATCGGGGTCGCCGTGCCCCCTCGCCCTCGTCCCCGGGTTGATCGGATCCTGGTGGCCGAGGGGCGCATCGTGCGGGTTAGTCACGGCGCGTCCCAACACTCCACGTTGGCCAGGATATCCGGGGGCGTGGGGGCCCGTGGGGCCCCATATGGGTCTAGCGGCTTGTCGCTCGCGTTGCGGTTGGGTGCTCCTTGCGGGTCTCCGCTTGGGGCGCCTGGCCGCGCGCAACGGCTTAAGGGGTCAAGGGGCGGCGGCGCTGAACCACGGTCAGTACGTGGGGAGGGGGGGGGGGGGTCTCCCCGGTTACACCTGGCCGTGCGGGAGGCGTCGTTCGCCCCGTATAGCACCGGGGTAGCCCTGGCGGCGACCACCTCCCGAGGGAGTGTAGGACCGTCCCCCAGTTGGGCTCCGAGGTGGGTGGGGAGCCCCGGTGCCGAATGCTTGCTAGAAATCGCATGGCTTCTCAAAACTCAACAAACACCAGGCCCCCGAAAGGAGGTCGGACAGAGCTGAGGCCCGGGTGCGAGGGGTATTCGGCCCCCCCCCCCCCCACCTTGCCCTCGGATTCTGATCTTTTTTAGGGGAGGTGTAAAGCTTTCCACCCTATCACTGTTTCAACGACGCAAGGGCTGTGGCAAGTTTGGAGACATCACGATATGTGACAAGCTGACGGATGGCAACATGGAGGTAGAGTTCGCCAGTGGTCTGGGGGCCAAGCGTGCATTAGAAGCGAAAGAGTTCATTTATAGTATTCGTGATGAGAGCGGGAAACATGACAAAACTGTAGCTTTGACAGTAACACCACACAACACAAAAAACTCACCTAGAGGCGTCGTTAATTGTTTTGACTTTCGTGATGTGAGAGCGAAATCGTCGAGGAGCTTTCGGAGTTCGGCGTAACCGCCGCGCGCAGAATCCTGGTTAGGAGAGAAGGAGAACTGAATGCTACCAACAACATCATTCTCACTTTCAATCGTCCGGATCTGTCATCAGATATCGGTGTGGTCTATGCCGGTGTGAAAGTCCGTCCTTTTGTTCCCAATTCAATGCGCTGTTTCCAATGTCAATGGTTCGGCCATACGAAGCCCCATTGTCGCAATAAGCTAGTATGCAGCAAGTGTTCGTCCACCACCCACCTGAGTGACAACTGCACCGCTGACCAGCCTTGTTGCGTCAACTGTGGTAACTACCAAATACCACACGCTGTGTTTGACCGTTCATGTCCAGCGTTCGTCAGAGAAAAGGAGGTACTTTTGCTAAAAGCGTCCAAAAACGTATCTTTCCCAGAGGCCAGAAACCTGTATGACGCGAGTCATCCTAAGCTCTCGTATGCATCGAAAGTAAAAACTGCTTTGCTGTACAACAACGTCATCGAGCAGATGACGGTCATTCAGTTCCTGGGACTTTTGAAATCGTTAGGTCTTACTGTTATACCTTTAGCACGTACACCGGACTCCCAGCTGACAGTCCAAATTCCTTCATGGCCGGCCGACCGGTCTGTAGCTGACGTTGGCGTCCGGGCTAAGCCTCCTGCTCCATCCCCGGCGCCTGGCCGGTCGTCACCCACCATGTTGCCGACTCCCCGGCGCCACGGTCTCCTGCCGGAGAGGAGGGTTGGGCGGTGGTCCGGCGCGGCCGTGGCCCGCGGGCTCCACCGGCTTCCGCGTTAGTTTCTTCGCCACCCTCGTCTGCCTCCGCTCCGTGTGCTCCGTTGCCTTTGTCACCTCCGACACCACTAGCGAATGCTTGCGGGCTGGCGATAGAAACGTTGGAGCGGCACGAGGTGGACAGGCGCGCCCACCATGCCAAGCGAGCGCGGTTGGCCGAACAAGAACGGGCAAAGGCGGCGAACCGTGTGTCCGGGGCGGGCAAGGAGTCCGTCCCCCGCAGCGGTGCTCCATCGCCCAGAAGACCAGTTGAGCCCCCTGCTGGTCCACAGATGTCTGGCAGGGCCCCATCCATGGGTCCTCCCCCTCCGCCACCCAGGATTGGGCACGCTGGCACAAAGCGCCCCCCAGCCGGTCCTCTGTCTCCATCCGACGGAGGAAGCCCAAGGATTCGGCCCAGAGTGGAGCACCACTCTACGGAATCGAGCCGTAGCGACAGGACCGAGGTGTCCGGTCCTGCAACAGGCGCAGCCCAGCTCTTTTGAACCGTGTCGCGTCTTAAAGTGTGCTTTTAACCCTTTTTCTGGTACACCCCCTTGCAGGCGTATTAACTGATGTTCTGCGCGCTGTGCCGGTGAGCTAGGCGTGTTATGTCTACCCTCACTTTTTAGCTTTTTGACAAGTATCTTACAGTGGAACTGTAGGGGTGTGAGAACTAGTCTACACGATCTCAGAGTCATTTTGAATCAGCACTGTACGGCCATCGCCTGCCTGCAGGAGACCAAACTGGCACCTGGCTCTCATTTCAGTATCCCGAGGTACACCGTAATGCGTCGGGATACGCCAGTTGATCCAATTGCACATGGCGGAGTTCTTTTGACTGTGCACCACAGTGTCTCCTTCCAACGCCTCGTCCTACACTCTGACCTGCAAGCTGCTGCAGCTAAGGTACTTTTCGGGCGTCGTGCAATAACCGTTTGCTTGCTTTACTTACCTCCTGGTACTCCATTTCCGACGCCAGAAATGAGATTTCTGGTGGCCGAGATTCCCCCGCCTCTTCTTTTGCTGGGTGATTTCAATGCTCACCACACATCTTGGGGTTGCGCTCAGACCAACACTCGCGTCAGGCATTGCGAAACTTTTTACATGATGAATCTCACTGTATTTTATACACCGGGGCCCGAACTCACATGACGCTGCCGTCAGGTCAGACATCGGCGCTGGACTTGAGTTTTGCAAGCCCCCAACTGGCAGTACACCTGACGTGGTCGGTTGACAGCAACTCCTTCGGTAGTGATCACTACCCCATCTGGTTGCGCTACTAGAACGGAGCAGCTCTCGGTTCCAGGCCACAACGGTGGAATCTTAGAATGGCTGACTGGGATGAATTCCAGGCGCGGGTGGAAACCAGGTTGGCTTCCGTTTCGGTGGATATGCGTGCATCGATAGAGAAACTCACCTCCACAATCTTACAATCGGTAAAAGAAAGCACGCCATGTACATCCGGTGCCGCATGTCGTCCCCCTGTCCCGTGGTGGACGGACCAGTGCCGCGACGCTATACGTGCGCGTAAAAAAAGCCCTGCGAGACTTTGATCGACGCAGCACTACGGAAAACTTAATCGCTTCTCAACGATCTCGGGCGGCAGCTCGACGTACTATCTTGGAGGCCAAGCGTACGTCTTGGCGGTTATATGTTGGCCAGCTTAATTGCCAAACGCCGGCTTGGGTGGTTTGGGCGCGGGTGAGGCGTATAACAGGCCAACACTCCTTAGTGCCTCGCCCCGTGCTCTGTGTGAATGGCCAGGCCATACTGGACCCATCTAAGGTGGCGAATGAAATGGCTCGTGCGTTCGCGGAGTGTTGTGGGTGAACAACTGCCGCTCCCGATTTCACACGCTATCGTGCTCGTTGCGAAGCAGCCCAGGTAAGCTTTCATACATCCGAAGAGTTTTCATACAACAC